GTCTCACCTGGAAACCATCATGGTGAATTCCAGGCGTATTTATCGCGATGGGCTAACTGGCCTGCCTTTTCTAACGTATAACGTTGGGGGGAAAGGGATTGTTAGTAAGGGAGACTAAGAATCCCATTGTTAGCAATATACCCAACCAGGTCGACCTCCTCGCGGTAGCTGCTGGAAACTATCATGGTTAATTCCTGATGAATTCATCCTGATGGGCTAACTGGCCTGTTTTCATTCTCATCTATCACCCTTCACTGGTGCTCCGCCAGCGTATCCCGTTAGCGCAGGCGGAGTTACCATACCATTTTCACCCATAAAAAAAAACGTATAACGTTAGCGTTGGCGAGGTTACCATTTCATTATCATCCATTAAAAAAAAACTCTTGTATTACTTTACGGAAAAATAAAAGATCACATTTACCCTATTTTTAACACCGCGGCAAGCCACTCTAATGTCGTTTAAAACAAGGTAAAGTGCTTGGTTGCAATATACGAACCGCACAAGTGGAAACAAATGCTGCCGACTGTATTACCTTAGACACAGTAAGTAACGGTCCACTGTGAGAGCGGAAATACTAATTCCATTAAAAAAAACTCTACTCCTATATAAATAGAGTATATTTTTCTCCACCAGTTTATATACGGTGGTATTGCAAACAGCCTCCGTACTCAGGGCATTGTTTCCCATAATTGCGACGATGCTATCTGTGATCGCTTGGTTTCATCAAAACAATGCGTCTGTTTTAGACATAAACCTCTTGCTGACTATCCGAGTGCGTTATCCGCAATAATCCTCAATAAAACAAGGGCAAGATGGATACGGAAGCATTTTTACAACGAGAAGCGGTTTTTTTTGTCATTGCATCAAAATGAAATTATAAATCTCGCTTTCGGTATCGGTATATACTGGCGGGGTACCAATGAGTGATGATAGGTGAAGATGAAAGCCTGTAAGCTCAGGCATAGTGAGTTCGACAAGAATAAACTACGATGGTGTCTAAGGGAAACCGCGAGGAGGTCGACCTGACAGGTTGTATTGCTAGCATTGGGACTGTTAGACTACATTATTAACAATCCCTTCCCCTCAATCGTAAGCGTTATCAATGGTTAAGGGTTCACAATGAATTAATAACGCGCAGTCACATTTTTTTTTTGATGAGTTAAAATGGTATGGTAGCCCCGCCTGCGCTAACGGAATACGCTGGCGGAGCACCGGTGAAGGGTGATAGATGAGAATGAAAACAGGCCAGTTAGCCCATCATGATGAATTCATCAGGAATTAACCATGATAGTTTCCAGGGAGAACCGCGAGAAGATCGACCTGTTGGGTATATTGCTAGCAATGGGATTCTCAGTCTCCATTACTAACAATCCCTTGCGCAGTCACATTTGGATTCTGATAGTCGTATATACATGTCAATCTGCAAACTTAAAAAATGTATATGACGTGTGTTTCGACTGATATAGCCAATGAACCAGTTACGGTAGCGTGCAGCCATTGCACTATCTACATTGTGCAATAGCTACTGTTTTATAGACAAGCACAGTAACGAGTGATGGAGCACTACAGCCGATGGTGTTAAATTGTTTTTAAGCGACGTCCAACTATACCTCGATTACAATAGGTCTGTACTCGGTGTCACTGATTAATGCAAGATTATTTCTTAGGTGGGCCTGGTCCCTTTAAAAAGGTGCAAAGATACTTTTAACTAACATGCAAATAATTGTAGTTTCGCTCACATCCTGGTGTGGGCATAGGACAGGCACGTTCACATCTTAACACAAATATGAGTAAAAATATTTTTAAAACATATTTTTATTTGGAAGATATTAAACTAAAAATAAAGGACCACAGTCTCGGAATAGAATAGGCCACCACTTCCTTCCCGTGGGTGTTGTAAGAGGCGACTAAGAGAGAACGAGGGATGGGCAGCAGCGTCCCTCTTAAAACATCTCAAAGCCTATCCGCGGTTGCCAACCCGCCTGCCAAGTGCCTGGAAACTACTGGCAAAACTTCCCAAGAAGAAAGCTTATGTACAGCAGTGATGATGAAATTAAAAATACTGTCTAAATTTATTTGCATGTCTATTTGTCTCGATACCTATATTTGATATAGATTTGAGAGACTGCATATAGAGTACTAAAATGTTAGTAATTGTGTATGCTCGAAGTACCTATACCTTGGGGGGAAAGGGATTGTTAGTAATGGGGTCTAATAGCCCCATTACTGGCAATATACCCTCTCAGGTTGACGTCCACGCGGTTCCCCCTGGAAACCATCATATTTAATTCTTGTCGAATTCATCATGGTGGGCCAACTAACCTGCATTCATTCTTACCTATCATCTTCCACTGATGCCTCGTCGGTGTATACCGCGGGTGGGGTAACCAATCCATTTTCACCCATTAAAAAAAGTACCTATACCTAGTACATAATTGAGATTTTTTGTCTGTCTGATTTTTCTATAGACTATAATATTTTATAATAATTGTTTGTAACTTCTCACGTTCTCCAAAATGAATGTAAATCTCTGAACAATGCTTGTTATGCCGACGAAGGCGTTGGTAGCCTATTACCATTGGTACTAAATTCAGCATTAATTGCTCGTGCAAGACACGCCTATTCTTATGTAAAACGCTCTCTTTTTTTATTAATGGTTCCTAGTTCTACGAAGTAATGTAAATATCTTGGGAGATGGTCTGCGCTCAGATATTACAGGAACAATGAAATAAAAATATTGTTCCGACCACAAATTATGAGATGAGAGAAATCTTGGTGATCGACTTTCTAGTCTCTTTTTATCATAAAGTAATCGACCTTTAGTTTTAAGATTCAATTAACTAGTACATTATAAAAACCAATAAAGATTATTCTACTTTATTCAATATAATATTGAGGCAACGATTAAAATAGATACATATGGTACAAAACATAGAGCCGTTATCAATTCAGTTGAATCGATATATTGAACATCATTTGTTAGGCAATAGAACCACTTTCTCAACAACCACGACACAGCACAATACGCTGCTGCACCGGTCCGATTTATACGATCTCGTGACTAATCGATTGTAACTCGATTAAGCGAGCTCTTACTCTAGCTAGGTCACTCGTGCCTGTAATGCACTATCAGTAGAACCTACCGTAGAACTATTACAGACAATGAGTTTTTATTTAATTACAATATCATTGATTACAGTATAATTTATCCTGTTTTTGTGTCAAACAACAATATTGATAATACAAATAAAATTCAATCTGTCCATTTCATCCATCCATTGGATCTTTTGATGTTTGTTACTTAATCACTGAATGTTTGAAGTGTTTGTATAACATTTGGTATATAAATAACATGGATAAGCACATAAGATACTTTCATCCTAATTCACGCTGGCAAATTGGCGTGTTACACCACACTAGTCCAAAGCAGAACTCAAAGTTTCATTTGTTACTTGATTACATATCCTGGTGTGATTGGATCGCTGTCCTTGCGAAGACGCTTGCTAACATTGTGTTAGTATATAATTTTTCATCTTTAGCGTTCAAGTACCCCGCCGATGTGTCATTAGCCATTGCATAAGTGGCCTGCTCGATCCACCTAGCTCGCGTGCAACACTCACGTCACGCCAGCGAGTTTTCTATACATCAATTATTAACCAGACTATTAAGCGGCATACACCAGTTTACTATCACTGGGTTCTTTTTGGTTAAATCGTCGTCATCTTAATTAGCATATTGCAGTTCACTGCTGGTTATAAGATCTCTCCCAAGACACGTTACTGGGCACGATCTTCAGGTCTTCGTTTTGCAGTTTTGGGTTAAGTTAGGTTTTAGGTTTACGACTACGTAATAAGTATACCAGGTCCTACTACATAGTAATCATGAAAATGAACAGCTTCACCCAAATAATTTGGAAATAATGTTTGAAGTACCTCATATATCTACCTCATCTACGCGACAAAATTCCACTTGTGAACTAGAGATACTTGCGCTGCCATAGTATTTACATTTGAAGGATCATAAATATACACTTACGCTTCAAAAAACCCAAATAGATTTATATGTCGCCTTGAGTTTATCCTTGGTTACTAAATGGAAAAATAATGCTGTTATGTCGTTTCGGGTTATAGCTCAAATGAATTACTATATCTCCGAGTTATAGATTATTGTTACTGGTTGCTCATTGAAAAAGTGCCATGGTACTACTGCACATAATGCCGTGATAATTATGGACTAGGCACGTGACGTTATCTTTACGTATGACAAAAATGTGACATTCATCATGTGTGACATATTTGCCAGCAATTTGCCTAATGCAGTAAAAAATGAGCCTGTATCTGAACACGATTTTTTTCACATACTGATTTTACAAGTTGATTAAATGACATCTTCGAATTTTTAGTATGCATATGCGCTGTCCTGCCTTTTACTAATAATTAACGGAATAATATTTTTGTATGCGTTACATTACCATTAAATATCCATTATATAGTTGTATTCTAAATAATTATGCTATGACTAATTACAGCGGCATGCGTCTGACGCTTCACGCTAATCTAGCTAGCTAACGTCGAGTGAAACATACCTAATAGGGAAATTTGATCTGCGTTTGGTCTGATTAGCGCAACTGTCCCAAATGATATGCATACCTATTAATTTGGTATGCAATTTGAAAGTAGTTTCCCTTTCAATCGACTTCAAAAAAGGAATTTCTCCAATGGAATGGTAACCTTATTTGTGCTATCGGTATAAGCTTTTAGTGTACCAATGGGTGAGAACAAACTTTGGTTAGACGGCCCATCAAGAGTGATGAATTCACCAGCAATCAAACATGATCATTTCTAGGGGAAAACGGATCTATATGAAGAAGCGGATCAGACAGGGACGGTATATTACTAGTAATGGGCCAATTAGTCTCCATTATTATCCCCTGTCCATCGGATTGTAGTGTATATGTCCATCAATGTATATGTGACAAGGAGTATGCACTTGTTTCCAGGCTGGCTACTGTGGGTGTGTGTGTGCGCGTGGTGGTGGGCGGGCGGGCACGCAGCAGACCCGCTTGGGCCCTCGGACCGGCCCGAGGCCTACTTCAACGGCAGCTCGTACATACACCTCACACGGCCTATATCGCTGAAGCAGCTCGTCGGGCTCAGCTTCCGGACATGTGTCGGTGAGTTGAACACTTTCTTTCTTCTCTGATATGTTCTCTTCACACTGGATGGTAAAATATAATTACAACTTATATTTCTGTTGAAATAGTTCTTTTTATGTTTAATATGAAATCTAATATTCTCTTGTTTAAGTGAGTACACATATTTATTGTCAGATATGTTTAATATAGCGCACAAGGATAGAATGCACAGTTGGAAATGTTAAATTCCATCAAATGCCATTTTAATACTATCAGAGGTACAACACATTTGACATGCCCTAAATTGACATGGCCATTCGGGATCCTTTGCTCTGTCTAGACATGTTCATTAGACGACTGGTAAGAAAGAGTTTCTTAGACTGTTTCTCTTTTTTTTTTTTATACAACTTAGAATGGCAAACAAGCTGACGGCCACCTGATGGAAAGTGGTAACCGTCGCCTATAGACATGAGCAGTACCACGGACATAACAGAGTATACCGTTTTGCCCATGATACCTCCCATGCGTTGCCATTCCTGAGGACTCAGGTGTTATTCCTCTGTACCCAGTAAATTCACGCTATATCCCACCCTTCAACCCGAAACACAGCCATGCAAACACAACTGCTTTACGGTTGAAACACGAATGGGACAGAGGTGTCCAAGCAATCGACTTTTGTACAAAGTCTCCCTCTGGTATAATGGTTTCTATTATTTAATTATTATTATTATGAATTATTCTGAATCATATAGTGCTACCACCATTGAGGGGGTTTTGCCAGGGAGTCAGTGTATGCAGGTGGCTCAGGACCGTTCTTTATGGCAGTTTGTGGAGGTGGTATATGTTCAGCAGTGGACGGATAATGGCTGAGGTGATGATGATGATGATAAAGTGCAATTTTCAAACACAGATACACTACAGAAAATTTTTGCAAATGGCATGGGCATGTCAAATGTGTTGTACCTCTGATAGTATTAAAAGAATATTTGCTGATAATATTCTTGTAGCGTTTATTAGCGGGTTCGGTAAGACCGCAAAATTGTGATGTCAACACGCGACGACTGTCCGCAACCTTAGTTGGAGGTTGTGTGTGAAGCTTTCAATCGAAGTAATTTGTACGTATGTACCGGTGTGGATTGGCGGTCGCACGGCGCATGCTCATCAATCATACTGGAGCGGTGCAAAGACATTTATGTCATTATCCAACTATAATGTGCTTCGTGAACAGTATTATAGTTTTTTTCTCCAATTTAGTTCAACGTCCAAAATTTTCGGTTGTTAATTTTCTTACTTAAAAATACATTCCTTGAAAGATTTGTTGACTCCGAGTTTGTTTATGTCAAAATTATAGACGCCAGACAGTAAACAAATGCTTGTACGGCATTGCGATGCGTTACCCGTACCCAGCCCACCCACTGACCGCGACCGCTACCTACGCCCATGTCTCGTACGAAGTTTTTGCGTCACATTATATCCTCAACATCGCGAGGTTATAAACTACTTGGTCACCACTGTTGTACATTATCTTCATTAAAATAAATAGCCTATTAACGTCTCACTAGTGGGCACGAGCACGGAATAAATAGTAGTACGACACTCTCGCGAGAGAAGGATAGGAGTCGCACAGCATTGATGTATGTCTATCGATGTGTATTGGCATTTGAATTGGTAACTTTACAGCGCGCACGCACGCACGTGGCCATCGATCTTTTATCGATTAGCATAAATCGATGCCTGGCCGTAAATTAATCCGTTCATTGTACTCGTCGCTCACGACTCGATGAGCGATATTGATTGACATGACAGGTAGTGTGTGCGCCCAACACAATATTACATCATACTTTGATATCATCACGCTAAATCACTGCATCATGAAATATCTCCCCGGAGAAGTTTAAAATATCTAATTTTACAAAACCTGGAAAATCCGAGAGATGGGTGTAGCGAGTAAACTTTTTATTTTTTCTAAATTGTGTGTACGCAAAATACGTTATGAAACATTGCAGTTTCCATACGACGCAACACAGTTCATGATTACATAGGTACGATAGACACATATAATTAGGTGGGATGAATACTTGATTGTCATCCTAAAATACATATAAATATTCATTAAACTATAATAATAAATTATTCATATAATAGCAATAAAATATGGGCTAACTTCTCGGTGAAATCCAGTAATAGGTGTGACATTAAACATTACGCTTACTGACCAGACAACAAAAACGCTATTACCACATAATTTCACCCAGCGTTTTACTTTCTTAATTGTAACCAGAACTGATGTCTTAAGTATGTATTCTTATAAAACATAACTAACTTTAGTATATAAAAACTTATATATTTGGTGCTCTTCTTTTATTATTTACCTATCAGTCGTACGCGATTATGACTGCCTATTATAAAATGTTACATAAACCTCTGGAGCCGTCTATATTTAGATTTAAAATAAACTTCATTAGTGAGCCCTGCATAATATATGATCCATGTACGTTTCAACAGAAATGTGTAAGCGTTCTTTGTGTCACTGTAGAAATGTAAACACTCACTTTGTTCCCATTACATACAATGTTATTATTATAATACGTATCATAATAAATGACATCGCGGTAGTACAACTAAAAGAGCATATCGCGTCGTGAATGCGTTACGATTGTTGTTTCAAGTGATCTCCTTTTAATGGATTTATCTTTATTATCCATTCATTCGAGCAGCCATTGTAATTATTATAGTTAGCAAATACGTGCACACCTGTTCGTCTGTAGTCTTGGGTTCTCACAAGTTTGGAAATTTATTGTGCATTTAACCGGATTTTAATTATATGTAAAAATTTATTTATATATTTACGTAATGATTATGGATGCACTAGTTGCATAACTAGTGTGGCAAAAGAGGTATATGGTAAAGTGGCACCGTAATCTATGACTGTACAAGCATTACTGACGTCTTATCGACCCTTAGAGGGCTGCTAGATGCTATTTTTTATTTTTATCCAAAAGTGATTTTTTCCACTACGTTTTGTAATGCAACTATAAAGTGAAAATGAACGACGAAAAAAAATCTGTCTTCCTCGTTTACTTCTCTTACCCTTTGATTTGCCACATTTATTATAATATATTACTGTATTTATATACCGCTGTACCTTAAACAATTTACAAAACTATTAAATAAAATTACCTAAAACTCTCCAAGCTCATTTACTAAAATATTTTCCCCAAAATTGTTGTAAAAACATCCAATCTGGCAACTCTGCACCTTTGAGATATGAAGATCTCGAGTCATATTACTCAGTAATTTCACAGCCATATTCACTTCAAATTTCAACACAGCCATGCAAGGAGGCAAGCGTTTGGTTATAATTCACAAGTAGAGATCAAGGTACCTAGGCAAACGGCAGTGTACAGTCTCCCTCTGGTGAATTACAGAAATAAATTTTAACTTTCAGTCTAGAGAAACGGGAATCTCAATGCTCTCAAGCTCTCAGACTTCACGGTGTTTCTTTTGAATAGAGAATGTACCGTATGTTTTGATACATCTCATTTAATTTCGTTAATTAGCGGTCCGGCGCGAGCCTCCGCCGCTGTGTGGCCTGGCTACTGTTACATTACTGTACCTACGCCACGCTATGAAGTACAGTTAGCAAATTCATATTAAAAATAACAACCAACTGATTACAAAAGTCGATTGCTCGGGTACCTCTGTCCCATTCGTGTTTCAACCGTGAAGCAGTTGTGTTTGCATGGCTGTGTTTCGGTTTGAAGGGTGGAATATGGCGTGAATTTACTGGGTACAGAGGAATAACACCTGAGTCCTCAGGAATGGCAACGCATGGGGGGTATCATGGGCGAAACAGTATACTCTGTTATGTCCATGGTACTGCTCATGTCTATAGGCGACGGTTACCACTTTCCATCAGGTGGGCCGTCAGCTTGTTTGCCATTCTAAGTTGAATAAAAAATATATATATATTATAACTATTTGGCGGTATAATATTGCTTCAAACACCTCAGCATTTTATGATAAATGTCTGAGATATTTTAGTTTTGTCTCAGTGGGAAAATAGAGTACATATTTACAACTAAATGTAGTCAATCAAATATAAATTGCTGTAAGAGATCTCTTTTAGAGATAAGCTCGCCTTTGTGCACTATTATGTATAATTATTCTGTTATTATGCCGTTTGTGTACAATAAAGAATGAAAAAGAATATAAATAAAAGTTAAATTGATTATACAACGTATGTAATATTTAGGACTCGTGAAAAAATTTTTATACAACCTGGAATGGCAAACAAACTGACAGTCTACCTGATGGAAAGTAGTAACCGTCGCCTATAGATATGAACGACTCAATGGACATAACAGAGTACACTGTGGTCGCTTATGATACCCCTCATGTGTTGCCATTCCTGAGGACGAAGGTTGTTATTTTTTGTTTATATTTTAAGGTGGTTGGTTTAATACTCCTCTAATTTTTGTTTAGTATAAACATGCTAAGTGCTAGCCATTATTAGGAATAACATCTCTTCATTTGATGAAAACTGGTAACTCTCACCTATCAGCACCAATACATGAACAACATCTTCGACACACTACTAATATTATACAAATAATACCTATATAGGATATTTTACCAGAAGGAGACTTTGTACAAAAGTCGATTGCTTGGACACCTCTGTCCCATTCGTTTTTCAACCGTGAATCAACTGTGTTTGCATGGCTGTGTTTCGGTTTGAAGGGTGGGATATGGCGTGAATTTACAGGGTACAGAGGAATAACACCTGAGTCCTCAGGAATGGCAACGCATGGGGGGTATCATGGGCGAAACAGTATACTCTGTTATGTCCAGGGTACTGCTCATGTCTATAGGCGACGGTTACCACTTTCCATCAGGTGGGCCGTCAGCTTGTTTGCCATTCTAAGTTGTATAAAAAAAAATACAAAATTCAAACCATAAATCCTTGCAAAGACTAGCTAGACCGCAATTGTAATAGAGGAAGATTTCTGTTCTTATTACTTCTTTATTTTGGTTATTTTTTTTAGCCTAAATCCATCCTGCTGGAAAAAATATTGAAGGACGGCGTTGTGTTACGCTTGCAGGTGGGGAGCTGTTCTCGCAGCGTTTCGAGCGGTACACGCTGCACGTGACGGCGCTGTACGAGCAGGTGGTGGTGTCGTGGGCGCTGCCGACGCAGTCCACGCGCCAGGAGGGCATGGCCAAGGAGACGCTCGATAACCGCTGGCACTGGGTCGCGCTGCGCTACCGCCCCAACCCGCCCGCGTTACTGCTCGAGGTGGACCACGACTACATGGTCAGTTGAACGATGAATGATGCCTCCACGCGGTATAACATGATATTGGTCACTTCACTGCTGCCAGGGTTTCATCAACGCACTTTACCATCCATTGTGACATAAAAATCTACCCGCTACCTTTCTGTTGGAATACAGTCCAGAATTTCGATCGAAATATAAACATTAGACATTCCATCAAGTTACCATCTTCAAGTTTCCATTCCATTTATCTACTAGACGTTAAGTCGTCGCATTATTGTATATTGTATAAATAAGTGACATTTACCATTTTATTGTTAGCTTATTCGCTTTTGGCCACAACAGAATATCAGTTTTTTGTTCTTTTGAGAGCAAAGCAATAAACTTAGTTCTGACAATTTTGTGTTGCTATGGCACACGGACGAAAGGAAAATTATGTTACTTCTTTTACGTATTTTCCTTTTTGTATATGTATTCTTTTATCTCTTTTTTTTTTTGTATATCTATCTTGTCTGTTGTTAATTGTGTGCTCTATGTAATGCAAATAAATTATATATCTATTTATCTATAATTAAGTCAAAAATTCTTTGTATCTTAAATTGGGCCCAGTTAAAAATTAAGTTGATTGAATTTTTATTGCTTCAACATATTTGTAATTGGAGCAGAAAAGCTTTATATGAGAAGTTGTATGTCAAGCATTAAATATTGTTCATTTGTAAGTGAAAGGAGAGATGAAAGTTTAGTAGTTCTCTCTCTCGAGAGAGAGACTGTTTTTTTTTAATGGGTGATAATGGTATGGTAACCCCGTCTGCGCTATTGGTATACACTGGCGGGGCACCAGTGAGGGATGACAGATGAAGATGAAACTAGGTCAGTTAGCCCATCCTGGCGAATTAAACTAGAATTAGTCACGATGGTTTCCAGGGGGAACCACGTGGAGGTCGACCTGACAGGGTATATTGCTAGTAATAGGGCTATTTGACCCCATTACTAACAATCCCTTTCCCCTCTCTTGAGAGACTGTTGACAAAGAAAACGAAGGGAAACATTATTCTTGTTTTTTTTTTAATTTATATAAGTATATTTGAACCTATGGCAGAACATACAGCTTAAACGAATTTTTGCTTATTCTTTATAATATGATCTCAGTTTCTTTTTATCTAGTAAAACATTTACATATACATATATATAAAAAAGGATAAATAAATAAGATTTTAATATGGTGTCACTACATTTGTTTCATAAATATACAGTATGTACAAGAAAAATCAGCATTACAAGAAGTAGGGTAAAGAGACAACAATACACGTACGTGGTCTTAACACTAAATAGCGACTTTGGGATGGAAAAGAATAATAAAAATAACGTTTGCTTGATTTTAGAAATTTAACACTGCTACTTCTTTCCGTTTTCCTCGTTAATTCTTCATTCCATTTTTATTACCTCCAACTTTCTTTATTTATTTCCAACGTCCCCCTTCTTTTTCCTCTCCATCTTCTCCTCCATACTGTAGGTGTAGGTATACCACCAACAAATACATTCCCAAAGAGGGTTGACGTCAGGGAGACATTTATATTTATTTATTTTTCTAATTGCAGTCATTTCCTTTCTAGTCATGTCATCTCTCAGCCAAAATCTTATGCTTCCACAAAGCCGACATGAAAAAATTGTAATAAAGGCAGAAGAAAATGTGACTTATTGTTATTTAAATAGTGACGTATTGGTAAATATGACGGTTGTGGCGCAGGTGATATCGAACGTGACGTGGAACCCGGAGCTACTGTCGCCGGGCGCGCTGGAGGCGGGCGGCGCCGAGGTGCTGGTGGGCAACGTGTTCAGCGGCTGCATCCACGAGGGGCCGCAGCTCGAGTTCCACGCCGCCAACGCACAGTTCAGCAACGTCGTCTTCGGACACTGCCCGCTCTCCACTGACGAATGTGAGCGCCACCTTTGTGCTTTACTTACACTATGCACATTTTCACGACGAATGTATTATGAAACTTATAGAATGAATGTGTGTAGTGTTTTTTTTTAATGGATGATAATGGAATGGTAACCCCATCCGCGCTATCGGTATACACTGGCGGGGGACCAGTGAAAGATGATAAGTGAGTATGAAGCAGGTCAGTTAGCCCATCGTAACGAATTCAACAAGAATTGTTCACGATGGTTTCCTTGGGGAACCACCTGGAGGTCGACCTAATAAGGCATATTGCTAGCAATGGGGCTGTCAAACTCCATTGCTAACAATCCCTTTCCCCCCTGTGTGTAGTGTTAGAAATGTGTTCATTGTCTAAATTAGTTTATTCAATTGTTTGATTGTGTACAATTTTTTTAAACTAACTACGGGTATAGGGGGAAAGGGATTGTTAGTAATGGAGACTGAGAATCCCATTGCTAGCAATATACCCAACCAGGTCGACCTCCTCGCGGTTCCTCCTGGAAACTATCATAATTAATTCCTGATGAATTCATCATGATGGGCTAACTGACCTGTTTTCATTCTCATCTATCACCCTTCACTGGTGCTCCGTCAGCGTATCCCGTTAGCGCAGTCGGGGTTACCATACCATTTTCACCCACCAAAAAAAAATTACGGGTATAATGATTCATTATATCGACCTTTAACTGTCCATTGCTGCTTTTATATTACATCTATTTAAGTGAATACTTAGTAATTTACTTAAAATATACAAATTTAAGTAAATGGTCTAAACAAATTTGCACTAATAATAAGTGACAACATAATATGTAATCTTGTTTGCATGTATGTATTAACATGCACCTGTTAAAACGCAATGCTTTAGACATAACAAATTATATATTGTTTATAGGTAAAGACGGAAAAGACGTGCTGAGGATACCGCCAAAGGATCATTGCTACAATGAACCGTGCATGCGACACGGAACATGCATTTCCAGACACGACAGGTCTGTGCCCAATGTTAATGCTTTTATTTATCGAGACACACACACACAGATTATCCGATTTCATTCTATACATTTTTTTTCTTAAACCGTATTACAACTTTAAAGAATTGTTATTTTTTACTATTGTATTATTATTAAAATGTGTTACAGTATTTCCTAAAAATAAAAAAGAGGTTATAATTAAAAAAAAAATAGTTTCGTTATTTGAAACGATTGTTATTGATGGTTGATGATCGCTGATTGTTGTTGCATGCGGCGGTGAAGGTACGAGTGCCACTGCACGGCGCGGTACACGGGCAACAACTGCGAGGTGGACGCGGGCCCGCCGTGCCGGCAGGCGGGCGGCGCGGCGTGCCTGCACGGCGGCCGCTGCGTGGAGGACGCGCGCGGCGACTACGCGTGCGTGTGCCCGCCGCGCTACCGCGGCCGCCGCTGCGAGCGCGAGCTGTCGCTGCACCCGCTGTGCGTCGCCGGCCCCTGCCGCAACAACGGCACCTGCAGCGTGCCCCACTCCGCCGACACATACGTCTGCGACTGTCCGCCCGGTACACGACGTCCACGCGATCATTCTAACTTGCATGCATCTTAAGGATTAAATTCATTTCTAAATGTGGTGGCAACATTTCAGAAATGTACTTCAGTTAAGATTTTTAAGCTAATGAACTATGCCGTCAAACATAAAATTATTTACCAGAGGGAGACTTTGTACAAAAGTCGATTGCTTGGACACCTCTGTCCCATTCGTGTTTCAACCGTGAAGCAGTTGTGTTTGCATGGCTGTGTTTCGGTTTGAAGGGTGGGTTATGGCGTGAAAAAAAAAGTTGGACTAAGGTCATATTCTTGTTTGTGCTGATATAAATAACATGAAACGTAGCTGTAAACCGTGAAGAGCGATCGACTGACGGCGGTGGTGGTGTTACAGGGTTCACGGGCACCAACTGCGAGCAGGACGTGGACGAGTGCGCGGCGGCGGGCGCGGCCGCGTGCCTCAACGGCGGCCGCTGCGTCGACGGCATCAACAACTACACGTGCGACTGCTCCGGCACCGGTAACACGACTACCTCACATACACACACTATTCAAATATGTTGTTTAATGAGAACAAAAAGTGATATTGGATGGTGACTGGGTCAGGTTACACGGGTTCGCGGTGCGAGACGAACGTGAACGAGTGCGAGGAGGAGCGTGCGGTGTGCGGACACGGCGTGTGCTACGACACGTACGGCGGCTTCGTGTGCGCCTGCCTGCCCGGCTACACCGGCGAGCGCTGCCACCAGGTGCGTGTATCGCCGCATCGCTGCCTGCCGCCTGCCGCCTGCCGCCGGCTGCGTCACTAATGTACTCACGTGTGTAGATGTCGGCGTGCGCGTCGGGCCCGTGCGGCGCGGGCGGCGCGTGCGTGGAGGAGAGCGGCGGCAGCGGCTTCCGCTGCGTGTGCGCACGCGGCTGGGCGCCGCCGCTCTGCAACACGCCGCTGCCGCCGTCGCCCGCCGCCGCCGCCGCCCCCGTCGCCCCCGTCGCCGCCGACAACTCCCCCGCGCCGCCACCGCCCGCCTGCGCCGAGATCACGTGTCCGCCGCATTCGCATTGCGCTTACCACAATACGCATCTAGGTAACGTTGCAGCTGTACCGTAACAGGTTTACCTGGTGCCAATATTTCGGTACTGTTACAATGGTAACAAAAAAAAAAAAAAAAACTATACACACGTAAATAGAAATAGATAATCAATATTGGCAATGTATAAAAGAGCTAGACTCTAACGGAAATCATTGATACCGATGAACATCGGTATTTTTGCTATATTGATGCGGTATTTCTGATAGTTTCTCGTATTTCTCATATGTATCTAAAAACTACCAGCACACAAACGAACATTTTAAGTAATGAACATTTTGACTAGTGCGCTATATAAAGACAGCGAACTTGTCCTATCACATAATTATCATTATATAGATACGTCGTTATATTAAGAAAACGTTCCTCGTTCGCAGACACGTCTACTGCGGCAGCGGGAGGCACGGCGGCGACGGGGCAGGTGACGTGCGTTTGCGACCCCGGCTACTACGGTGAGTGGCATGAGTGGGTAGTGCGCAGGCCGGTCAGTAGTGTGTGGCGAGTGTGGCGAGTGTAGCGTGTGCGCGTGCGCAGGCGCGGCGGGCGCGGCGGCGCTGTGCGCGGAGGCGGGCGGCGCGTGCGCGGCCGGCGTGTGCCTGCACGGCGCCGCGTGCGCGCAGGCCGCCGACGGCTTCAACTGCACCTGCACGCCCGCCTACCGCGGTACGTACCTGCATAGCTTGTTCCTCCCTACTAGCTCCCTTTCAACTACCTACTTACTTGTTTATTTTAATGTCAATGTCGCTTCCTACTAAAGCTTTTAATGTGATCATCATATTTGTTCCATTTACTACACTGTAATATTTATATATTTTGTTACATTAGAAAAAAAATAAATTTTTATTTTGTATTGTGAAATAAAATTAACATAAGAAGTATGTCATGCCCAGGTCGTTCAGTAACAGTCAGTTATTTGAATAAAATTTCTTTACGGTAGAATAGTATTAATCTTTATTCAAGTATACTTGTTCGCGAGTTCTTTTATCTTTTTTTATTATTCTACTGCTGAGTTCAGAATATCTGTATTTTTTTGCTTTAGTGTAGCCCTGGTTTTCCTATGAATAAATAAATAAATGAAATAAATAAATATTTATTGAAAAGAATTTCCAAAAAACACAGCAGTTAGATATTTCAAATTATGTTGTATACAAAATATTTTTATATTTGTGCTAGTACTGTGACTATAATTAGCATTGAGTTCCATTCATATGTCTTATTTGATAAAAATATTTAAACATGAGCAGACCAGTGTCCGCAAATATTATCCGTTCCCAAGTATGACAACTGAACGCTCTTTTTTTTTCTCATTGAGCATGGTAACGTCGCGCATCGTGCCCCCCGCTTGGTTCAGTGTAATGTAATGCAGTGTTAGTGCGACATGTGTATGGCGTGTGTGCGCGTGCGCCGGTGTCCCCCGCCGCCTACATGTGTGTGCGTAGCTTACGTGTGTGTGCGCATGGCGCGGAGCAGGCGTGTACTGCGAGCAGGCGGCGGCGGCGGCGGCGGCGACGGCGGCGACGGCGGCGGCGGCGGCGGCGGCGGCCGGCAAGGCGCTGTCCGACCTGCGCGCGCCGCCCGAGCGCTGCGCCACCGCGCCCTGCCTGCACGCGCGCGCCTGCCACGACCGGGTGAGTGCCGCCGCCGCACTCGTTACACACAACACGCGTTGCTAGAATACACTTGCCCCACAGTGACCACCGACCATTATAAACCACCGCACACACGCGCACCACTTAATGCGCTGTACTTTCTACACTTTTATATATTTTAATATTATGGTACCCAGTACCATGTCGTACCGTACCATTCACATCGTGCACACGAGCACTACGAACTATACGATGTTGGCTGCGCTAAATTCTTTCCACAAAATATGTAATAATGTCTTGACTTTGGGATACCACCGTATACTATCCCATCACACAGCATATATGATATATATATGTACATATTCATAAACATATGTATAGAGTTTAATATTACAACATTATGAACACCATACTACAAGCAACATTGGCTATATTACATTTTCTTCCATAGACGTATTTAAGGAGGGGGGAGGGGAGATATACTTATCTTGGAATTGTCTTGTGCCTACCCCAGAATTAAAACTTTATGTTAATGTACATGATATGTTTAAGGAAACAGCTCCCCCCCTCCCCCCCACTTCCTGAAAAATAATGCTCTTTTTACATATTTATAGGATTGAAGCACTGTGTGAACAGGTATAGCATTTGTGGTTGTATATTGATTTTGTACTGTTAGTGGCTTAACTAGCTTGCATTGCATTGTTGCATTGTGAATGTTTCTCATAGTTGAACTAGTGTTAAATCATTATTTTAAATATGTTTTAGATTGAATGTTTCCCTCATCTCTAGGAGAAATTCAAGTTTTTTAATTAAGTAATCAATAAAAAAAAAATTGTAAAAAGGATTTTTATCGAAACGATGTAAAGATTTTAAATGGGAATAATTGTTTTTTTTAATTATTATCAATGGTAAGTGAAGATATTGTTCGTCGTCTGGAAAATACAGAGAAACTATGAAGTGAGTGAATATTGCCACCCGGTATATCACAATATGTTTCCCCCGGGCCGCGCAGCCGACGGGATTCCAGTGCGAGTGCGAGCCGGGCTGGGGCGGCGCGCGGTGCTCGGTGGCGGCCGACGACGCCGACGACGACTGCGCGCCGCGCTGCCTGCACGGCGTGTGCCGCGCCGCCGCCTGCCACTGCCGCGCCGGCTACGGCGGCGCCGCCTGCGACCTGCCGCTCGACTGCCGCGCCGCCGGCTGCCCGCTGCACCAGGTACCCGCACTGCACGACGTGTTTGGAACGTGCACTACTGCAGTGCAGTGCGATAACGTGACCTTGTGCGCAGGAGTGTGTGGAGCAGAGCGGCGGCGGCGGGTGGCGGTGCGCGGAGGGCGCGGAGGGCGCGGCGGAGGCCGGCGGCGCCGCGCCGGCGGCCGGCTCCGCGCTGCCGGACGGCGCGCCGTGCGCCGCCGCGCCCTGCCTCAACGGCACGTGCCTGCCGCTCGACGACGGCCTCTTTCGCTGCCAGTGCCAGCCCGGCTACACAGGTCGGTATCACGTATTATCCGAATCAAATAAAACCAAGAGTATTCTGTATATTAAAAAATCTGGATGACACGTTATTTAGATAATATGATATAAAAAAATTCCGCGCTATAATAATTTATATTATATCTATTTACCTAATTAATACATTTCCAAATTGGTAATTAGAGCTGTGAAAAATAAGTTCGGATAATCGAGATTTTACTATATATGTAAATAGGTATACATATACATAGGCTCGGCACGCGTGAGCATTAAATTTTTTAGACTACCTCATGTACGCTTTATAGAGAACGAGCACGAGAATTGCAATTTATACCATATGCATGCAGTAGCGTAAACATATGTAGGAAAGTGGAAAACTAATTTCTGTGCATAAAAAAATAAATATAGAACCTTAATGATCTTGTTTTGCAAACAATACCGCTATCTAAATTGTAAAAACAATTGGATTGTTTTAAAATTTGGGTCAAGAAGACTCCACTAATTTCGTAATTATCAGTAATCCTATTATTGAAGGACCATATCAATTTCCGACAAATATATAGGTACGTCATTTATTTTATATACTTATCAAATTTTGAACATTATATAATGTGTTCTTTGTTCTCATTTTCATATCTAGTTGATATATTATTTTTGTAAATGGTGCAATAAAATGTAAATGATTAAATATAGTTGCAACCAAGAAACATGCTTGGAACGAAGGAAATAAAACCAATGTTATGATATACTTAATTAATTTTCTTTAAGTACTTGTAATAATACACAGTATTATGCAAATACACATCGTTTGATTTCAACCATTATAAATTATTGTTTTAGAAACAATAATAACTAAGAATAACTATCGATTATTTACTAGATGTAGCACAATTCTATAGCACATCGACGCAAACGTTATGAATCTATTCTTCCGAGTATATGGAGCCAATCATGTACGCGGGAGTATCGGGTATCCTTTTGCCTTTCAAGTTGACAGCGTACGGCAGCACTGACGGGTACCGTTTGTAGATGCCGCGAGCTTCAGGCGTCCATGCTAGCACTTCACATACACTACCCTTTTTAGCTGTCACAGCCACCCATGCCACCGACGACAGGACCACGTCGCCACAACACAGTTTAGGTCCTTCACCGGAAAATTCAAAAATGTTCTCACACCTTTGCAAACCTGGCCAATTCTTCAGTCTTTCGTCACCACCAGTAGGTGCGCCGAATAGTTCTGTGCCCAAAAACCTGTCATACACTTCTGCAGCATCTTCAGTCTTCGTTACTGTTATGGGTAGACTCTCAGAACAAAATATGGTAAAGCGGCATGGGTCTGAACAGTTCACATGATCTATGCGAGCTAAACCACCAATGAAGATAGTGTAACCTTTGTGCAAATAATATGTTTGAGGTCTGATTGTTTTCTTGGGAATAGTCAGAAGTAATTCCTCTGTTGTCAGCAAAGATAACACTTGATCTGGGTGAATGACTCCAGGCGTATCATAAAACCACTTACTCTTTGCAAACAATTCATGTTTTTCGTTTAGTGTCGTCATTTTTCTCTGGATCTCTCCAATGTCGCCACTATCTTCATACACCTCTGAAAATGATCTTCCAATATGCCCTATCAGCGTGGGTGGTTCTTTTGGGCTCATTCCTAGCATTTGAGCTTTTCTTATCTCCTTCTCTACTTTCAAAAGTTTGGCTTCAGATTTCAGTCTTCGAGTCCTTTGATATATCTTCCAACCAGACGGCCTGTTAATAGGAAACTTGAGTAGGTGCAAAGTGGTGCCTGGCCACCGACTGACAGTTGCTCTTTTCACAATATCAACTGCATGCACTTTACAATAGTCTGACTGCAGCAAGGCATTAAACAGGGAGCTCTTACCAACATTGGTGCAGCCAACAAGGTACACATCTCCTTTATACAGCCACTCTTTAAACATGGCCGATATCAGATCTTCGACTCCATAACCTGTTTTTGCTGATATGAGGCCTACACACTTGATATTAGCATCCTTAAGTTTAGTTTTATTAATTTCTGTCATCAGAGAGTCTTTGATCCGTTGCAGATAACCAACACTATCACCAGGAAGTAAATCCACCTGTAATCAATATTTTTAATAAATTACAATTGTTTAATATTTTACGTTTGAATATTTTAAACTTTCCATATACATATTTTTATATACCTTATTGCCCACAACGATGATTGGTCGTTCAGTGCCAATAATGTCCACAATACCTGGCCATATTGAGCATGGAAAATCCAGAAGATCTACCATAAGTAGTACTAAAGATTTTACATATCTGAAAAAAATAATAATTTAAAAGTCAATAAAAATTTTCCATTCCATACACTAGCCTCTTATTTGGGCTGTTATACAATGAAATATGATATTGAGGTAGATTCTAAGGCACTATTACCAAGCAGACAGGTTAAAATTAAATTTTTAATTTGATATTACAGTGAAATCTTTATTATAACGAACAATATGAAAAAATTTGCTAATAGAATTAAATCAAAATATATTGTAATTTATGTTTATTTTTATTATTGATTCATAAAAAAGTAATTATTTGAAATTTTCAAATTAATTATTAGGTTAAAAGATAAGTTTAGAGAAATCTCTTCTTAGAATGGGCTCCGTAAATTTTATTCATTTAAATTTGTATTTAATATTTTACAACAATTGGTGGGGTTCAAATTGTTGTTATATGTTCTTTGAAAAACTCAACAATAACTTTTTCAAACACTTGACAAAGAAATTCAGCTTGATAGTGTATTTATAATGACTGTAATATATAAAAGAATGTATTTATGAAATTTTAACATATTTTGATACAAAATATAAGGCTAATTTTTACACCTTACAACATTTTATAGTGCTGGAAAATGGCATATCAAGCTAATACTAAGTGAATGGAATCTAGTACACTGTCATACAACATATTAAAGATATACAGATAATAGTTTTGGTACCTTATGGACTGCAACAGTCTCTCATATTCCTCTGGTTTCACACTGACGTCCAATGCAATATTGTATTGCTGAAGGAAATGACAGCGCTGACACTCCATAGATTTCAATTCCTCATTGCTTCGGCCTCGGAAAATTTCACTAGGTAGGTATCCAGGTATAGATGGGTCGCTGCAGTGCAGCAATGCTCCACAACCCCCACAGGGCACCCGGCTTACGTCCATATTAGGATCCGGTGTCCCATAGTATTTAGACCAATTATCTACAGAGTCCATATCACTCTCCAATTCCTCATTGTCTAATTGGGAGTCATCAAAATATTCATAGTTTGTCATCCATCTTTTAATATTAGATTTATCAAATTCCGGTTCAGTGTTCTCTTGTTGTGTTTTAATTATCTCTTCATCGTTTATATCTACAGGTTTTGTATTGGCAAATGGGATTTGGAACACTTTCTCGGGTTCTTGTTTCTGTTTTTTTGTATCTTCCTTCAGTAACTTGTCTTTATCGACACAATATTGCAGTGCGACAGGCAACGGTGGTAGACATTTAGCCTCATGCTCTTTTTTTTGCTTTTGTTTAGCTCTTTTTATAGTTTTTAAATAGTACTTGAAATAACCTAGTTCTAGTTTTTCATGTTCTAAATAAGAATTAAACGTTATTTTATCCTTGTGTTCTTGAAGAATAGATGGGAAATCTTTCACTAATTTACTATTTTCATTGTTTCTTTCTGATGGTGTCTGGTTTGATGCTTGGATATGGTTGAAACGCTTCTTATACAAAACAAATCGACTTCGACATAACCTTGAAATATTGTTCATTGAATACATAATGGTGGGATGATATAATTTCAGTGTGAATGCTATGTGAAGGTTAACTCATATTTATTTTTAAAATATTTGTATTAAAACATTAAACGACATCAAATAGACACCAACCGAATCACTTTACATTCATTCGTCATATGTAAATGTCAAGCGGATTGTGATTGTCAATGTCAACATACTGACATATGTCATGCTCTTTTTGGTCTATGGACTTTGTCGATATATGTATATATAAAGTCCATAGACTAAAAAGAACGTCAACTTTTCTGTCTATGGACTTTGAATTGTGATTGTAAGCGCGCCATTATTCAAATATATGCAAATAATGTTTACTTTATTTAATAATTCTTTTTCTTAAAAATATCAATTGTTACGTTTCAGTTTCATAAATTATTCAATTTAAGTTGTATTTCACGCTCGGCTTTTACTTGTAGTTGCTGTATGCAGGTTTAAAAATATTGTTAATCGTTAGCGCGCGTAGTCGCGACTTCGCGACACTTGTGTAAACTCAATAACTGTAATTTGATGTGACTAATCTCATCATTTTAAATTCTAAAAGTGAATTGTGAATTATTTGTTTGCAATCTATGACATCCATTGTTCAAATGTTCATAATCGGGATATCGGTGCTCTTATTTGTTATACAAAGTACTTAAATACTATTAAATGCGTCGTATACTTGAATAGTCAGTATAATTTTATTCAACTGTCTATTTGTTTCAGGTCGTCTATGCGACCACGATGTAGACGAGTGCACGCGAACGCCTAAAATTTGCAAAAATGGCGTGTGTGTCAACAGCGTTGGGTCGTACCAGTGTTACTGCAGACCTGGTCAGTGGTACATTATATTTTATGTTATAAAATATTTCTTATTTGTATAAAATAGTATTTTATAAATATTAATAGGTTTACATTTGTAATAACTAATAGTGTCCAACTAGTAGAATCCAATATGCTAAGAGACGAGCCTACAACTGTTACTGTGTATAAGTAAATAGAATATTTAAACAAAACAGAGTTCCAGAGTTCATTAGTGTTGGCCAGAACTAACAACTTTTGAGGTTATAAGTCAGAATAATATATATCCCACTGTACTCTTAGTTATATTCAAATTGAAACATTAATATTGCTGCATAATTTAATTCATTAGTTTTTTTTTAATAATATATCTATATAAATATAAAATTATATTTTTTATTTTATGACTGTATTTTATTATTATTATGGGCAGGTTACACTGGCGATAACTGTGACCAGGATATTGACGAGTGCCTGTCGTCACCCTGTAAGAATGGAGGGACGTGCCAGAACTTGGAGAACAATTATGAATGCACATGTGTAGAAGGCTATGAAGGTCAGTGCCATACGACACAGTATTGTTATAGCTATCTATTGTTTTATATTCAAACTATTGTGTAATTACATCAAAATAATATATTATTTTCTAAACTTTTTCATATTAATACTGCTGTATCAATCAGTAGCATATTATCAAAACATTTAAGGAGAATTTAACCTCAAATGTAATAGCATTGACTCAATTATAAATAAGTAAAAATTACATTATTTCATATGTTGTATTTTATTTTGAATATATATCAAATTATATATATATATATATATATATATATATATATATATATATATATATATATATATATATATTTTTCATAATCGATAGTTTTTATTCCAGTTTTGATTGTAAATTAATTTTTATATATTAAATTTTTTACAAAAAGGGCAATATTTTAATTTACATTTTTATTATGCTGCTTTTATTATGTAGTAACGAAACTAGTGAAGAGCAAATCCGCCGTGTAGTCCCGGATTAGAATGGGTCATTCCTTCCTATCCCAAGGCGACTGAGGGAACTTATTTGTGCCTCTTAAAATGTTTCCAAAGCCTAACTAAAGTTACTAACTTATTTGCCAAGTATGGCTTTTTTTGGACACATTGGTCATTCCTGATGGAACACCAATTAATCACATTGCATACAAATAGATACTCTTGGTTACACTGCGTCAGTCATTGACGGAAAGTCGAGGAAAGCTCGCACCAGGATCAGTTAGTTCGACCGTGCGCCGATCATCAGTTGGTGGGAAATGGGCGACGCGTCGATTTGACCAACGCGTGCGGTATATATTTATATGACCTAACGCTAGCCTGAGTGTGTCGGACGTTTGCTCGGTGCGCAGGCAAGGACTGCTCGACCAACATCGACGAGTGCGCGACGTCGCCGTGCGCGGCGGGCGCGACGTGCGTGGACGGCGTGGCCGGCTACTCGTGCGTGTGCCCCGACGGGCTCACCGGCGCCAACTGCGAGCTCGACATCGACGACTGCGAGGTGACCACCCCCTCACCCCCTCCCCCACCGCCGCACTATGCACCCTGCACACCCTCACCACACGCTACGCCTTCGTATACTACTATAGTATATACATTTAGATTATATAGACAGACTCGGGTCTCAAAAATGGGTTATTTTTTTGTTTTTTAATAGTGCTCTATATACTTACGCACACAATTTATCTTGACGTATCTATATTTAATTACTTATTTATTTATTTAAAAGAACACCAATAACATTGCATTGTAACATATATAACAAACATTAAATACAATACAATATTAATGCATATGCCTACTAAAGGTATTCACAGCATTTACTTTAGCATAATTATATGGTACAAATAAATGAAGTAACAATTATAATGAATCAAATAATACTACACTACAAATATTTTAAAAGTTGCGTTATTAATTATGGAAATATACATGAACATAAGTTGTGAGCAACATCAGTAAATACTTAATAAATAAAATAAGTTTTTATGCATTAATAAGATGCAGAAATTATAAGACAAAATAATCATAGAAGTTATAAAAGAATCACACAAAATTGTATGAGAAAGTTGACACGTTTTTTTTCAAAGCATCTGTATGAAGACACTCTATCTATACAAGAGTACACTATATATAATACTCGTATGTGCAATTTTTCTATTCAATTAATTTTAAAGGAAAAAGTTTTTATTAGACTGCATATTGTATGTCTGTTACGTTAGAATTATTAATCGAATTTTTAATTCATCCGCCCGCTATGTGCAATACGAAACATGGCCAACTGTTTTAAGTATAATTTGACGTCAATTTGCCAAATTATAAAATATTTTTTCTCAAACATGCTTGGAAATGTGAGCATTATTTTGACAATCTTCTTCGAGATAAATCAAAATTGTCGTACTGGTCAGATACATGCGGGCAGCGGCCGGCAAAAGTTGTATGAAAATCTATATCTGTCGTGTTTTGCGGCCAGATAAATTACTATGTAAATTCATATCTGTCCTGTAATTTAAAAATGTAATGACCTTTTACTTCGAAACATGGCTACCAAGGAGGTAAGTAATACAAGGTTTTATTTAAATTTCGAACTGTCTTGCAAATAGAAAGCTGTTTATTGAAAAAAAAAAACAAAGGAACATTATGGCGCGTGAAAAATTATTATTGTTCGTTATTCGTCATTGAATTTAAAAAGTAAAATTGTGTTTTTGATTTCCGCGCATTGTTTGAGAAAAGTACTATACAAGCCTTGGCCACAACTAGGCATTGATGGACTCACGTATGTGTGCCTTGGCTGCGCCTCGGCCCACATTTGTACGTTCGTCCATTAATGCCTCAGTTGCTGGCCGCGCAGTAATGTACTATTATAACTTGATCAAATCATTTCTACATTATACATCGTCTCTATTTCACTGCGCGAGAGATGCGAGCCTGTGACTAATTATGTAATACGATTGATTCGTTCCAATTGTAACTTTAACAACATGCGTTTATGTTTTCAATAATTTGTTAACAATCAATTGAGTGTAACCACATTTATTACCTTAAAGGACTATTTTACCAGAGGGAGACTTTGTACAAAAGTCGATTGCTTAGGTACCTCTTTCCCATTCGTGTTTCAACCGTGAAGCAGTTGTGTTTGCATGGCTGTGTTTCGGTTTGAAGGGTGGGATATGGCGTGAATTTACTGGGTACAGAGGAATAACACCTGAGTCCTCAGGAATGGCAACGCATGGAGGGTATCATGGGCGAAACAGTATACTCTGTTATGTCCATGGTACTGCTCATGTCTATAGGCGACGGTTATCACTTTCCATCAGGTGGGCCGTCAGCTTGTTCGCCATTCTAAGTTGTATAAAAAAAAATGTGTAATCTAAGTAGTTAACTTGTTTAGCTTTTTATTAGAACAATAAATACATTGTATTGTTTGCTAAGAGGCCGCTGTATTGACAATGCTTCCGTTACTTATCAAAATTATGTAATTTCATAGAGTTTGGGAACCAAGTACTAAGGGCCGCTTAGTACTTGATTCTCAAATGTTATGCAACCGATATGAAAGTGTCAACAAAATGACTGGTTAATAATAACTTAAAAACATTGTTATTGTTACATTAATATAAATATTGAAACTCAACAATTAATGCGCATTTCAAATTATTTACAAGCGTATTTTTGATCGTAATTTTAGATAGATATTCTTTATTCCAACGCTATATTATAAAGATGTTGAGGTTGTTGACGTTGTGATGGTTGCGCGCAGTCGTCGCCGTGCCTGCACGGCGGGCGCTGCGTGGACGCGCTGAACGGCTACCGGTGCGAGTGCGCGGGCACGGGCTTCGCGGGCGACGACTGCGGCACCAACATCGACGAGTGCGCGCCGCAGCCCTGCCTGCACGGCGCCACCTGCCACGACGACCTCAACGACTACCGCTGCGTCTGCCACCCGGGCTACACCGGTACTGCTATACCACACTCTGCCCTGTCTACACACTGACACCGACTGACACGCGTCACAAGCGGCATGCGTACGACCTAATAGGGGGTATCGTAGGTGAAACATTATACTCTGTTATGTCCATAGCACTGCTCATGTCTGTAGGCGACACTTATCACTTTCCATCAGGTGGGCCGTCAGATCGTTTATCATTCTAAGTTATATAAAAAAAAACTTGTCGAGTATATGCATTCCATTGATGTGATAACAGATCTTTGCGCAGTACGACTGTAGTAAATTGTATACGACGCGATGTACTGGCGTTCCGCCGCTGCCGATCGGCTAGCAGACGACTCTGTGCTAATGCAAAGTAGCATGTGAGTGAGTATGCGATGTGGTTCAGGCAAGAACTGCGAGGTGGACATAAACGAGTGCGAGAGCTCCCCGTGCAACTACGGCGGCGTGTGCGTGGAGCGCAGCAACGCGAGCCTGTACCGCGCGGCGGCGGCGGCCGCGGCGGCGGCGGCCGCGGCGCCGCTGCAGCTCGGCCCGCAGCCGCACATGCTGCTGCCCGACTCCTTCTACGCGCCCTTCCACTACCACAACGCCAGCGGGTAACTCACACTATCGTTTTGTTTCTACTATTACAAGCGATTGTTCTGAATTCAATTTGATTTTCTATGCATCAAAAAAAAAAAAACAAATTTACGAATTTGAAGTAACGCAGGTTTTATTAATTCTTTTTAAAACTGAAATTTTTTACTTACACACTGTGGTCCCTTAGCAATTTTGTTAAGAATAAAATAGATTTTTTTTATGAAAAAGTATTGCTGTCACTTATTGACAGGAGCAACTAGCAAATATACCAGCTTGAATCTTTCGACTCAGTGCAACGACGAGCTATGAGAATTATCGATGATCCCAGAGAGCTTACCATGAAATGTTTTCCGAAATTTCGGAGCCGAACGAAACACAAATTTAATATTAAAATTACACAATACTTACCGTTTAAAAACATTCAAAATATGAAAATATTATTCCTTAGGACTTTTATGGTAGGATTTATTAAGAACGAAATGGTAAGCTTCATTTACTGGGCCGATTTAAGTGCGAACAAAAACATGAAATTGAGTCCGAAACTTCGGAATTTCATTTCATGGTAGGTCCCCTGGTATGAATAGTATAATAATATATAAATATAAAGTATCGAACAGTAACCGCTTACCATCAGATGACCTATAGAGTAGAGGTCCAGCGGTATTATTAGATTAGTATCGCGTGTGTATTGTGTAACTGTACTGTATATATGCGCGTGCAGGTATGAGTGCGTGTGCGTGGCGGGCACGACGGGCCCGCGCTGCGAGGTGAACGTGGACGAGTGCGCGTCGTCGCCCTGCGGCCACGGCAAGTGCATCGACGGCGTCGGCGGCTACGTGTGCGACTGCAACGCCGGCTACGAGGGCGACCACTGCGACATCGAGATCGACGAGTGCCAGAGGTACGCGCGGCGAGCTCGCCTCTTGAAATGCATTGCTCGTGTGGTTGTGTGCCGAGTGTAGACGCGAGAGGTGTGCGTGTGCGCAGGTACCGGCCGTGCGTGCACGGGCGCTGCTACGACGGGCGCGCCACGTACTCGTGCTACTGCGCGGCGGGCTACGGCGGCCGCAACTGCTCGGTGGCGCTGCGCGGCTGCGACGCGCGGCCGTGCCGCAACAACGGCACCTGCCTGCCCTGGCTGCGCCACGAGACCGAGCACCGCTTCAACTGCTCCTGCGCGCCCGGACACTACGGACACGTCTGCGAGAAGGTACCTCCGGCCTCTGGCGCGGACGCGGCTCCCCCGCCTCCTCCTCCACCCGGACATGTGCTAATAATTGGCCGAACGCTGTTTCAGATAACGACCATGTCGCTGGAGAAGAGCAGCTACGCTGAAGTGAACACGTCGCGCGAGGAGGGCTACGACCTGTCGTTCAGGTTCAAGACCACGCTCGGCAACGGGCTGCTGGCGATGGGCCGCGGCCTCACCTACTTCTTCCTCGAGCTGAGCAACGGCCGCCTCAACCTGCACTCCAGCCTGCTCAACAAGTGGGAGGGCGTTTTCATCGGCTCCAACCTCAATGACAGCAACTGGCAGAAGGTACTCACACATCACTCCTAATCCCTCTGTTTTTGATTTTATATTTCATTACGTGCAATATACTATAGGATGTTTCCGTCAGGCGCGGCTGATTAACGCGACTGAAGAATATGTACGGTTGTTCAATTGTATCTCCAACCTTTTAATTGTTTACATAAGTGTGAGCAAAATATCCAGTACGCACGACCATTGTCAAATGTCCGGCCATCCAAGGACGGTCCAAGGTCACATTTGTGACTGACGACTTTTAGTATTTACGGTTTAATGTAAATGTACAATCACGTGGTATAAGTTGGCAAGTAATAATTGTATGTATGCTTGTGCCGTTAGGTGTTCGTGACGATCAACTCTTCGCACCTGGTACTGGCGGCGAACGAGGAGCAGACCATCTACCCGATCAGCCAGAATGAGGCGTTCAACGCCACCGTCACGTCGTTCCCGAGCACGCGGCTCGGCACCGCCGGCTCCTCCTACGCCACGCTGCGACACGGGCCTAACTTCTTCGTCGGCTGCTTCCAGGACGTCGTCGTCAACGGACAGTGGGTCGGTAGACTTCACATTATACACTACGCTTCAGTTGTATTGCAATTCATTACATCGTTGGTCAGTCACTATGCTCGTCACTGTCTCGATTGAGCGATTTTTAAGGTCGTTTGCCGGTGATGATGGAGTAAAATGGAACAAGGAAATACTCGTAGGTGTTACCCGAGGACTCGAACGCGACGAGCGCGGAGAGCGCGACCACCGAGTCGGCGGCGGCGGAGCAGGAGCAGCAGGAGGAGGGCGAGGCGGAGGCTGCGGCGGATGGCGCGGGGGAGGGCGCGGCGGTGGCGGAGGGCGCGGGGGAGGCGGAGGGCGACGGGCGGCGCGCGCGCGCCGAGCTGCGCGGCGTGCTGGCCTCGTGCCCGCGCACGCCGCAGTGCGCGCCCAACCCCTGCCACTCGGGCGGCTCCTGCGAGGACGCCTGGACCAGCTTCGTCTGCACCTGCCCGCGGCCCTACCTCGGCCACACCTGCCAGTACAGTCAGTGCACCATTCGCTACGTCTCTCTCTCTCTTTCAACCGCACATATGTATAAATGAGCCGTGTACGAGTGGTTGTTTGTCGTCCGTTGCAGACTACACGGCGGCGACTTTCGGGCAGGAGGCGGCCAAGCCGCGCGCCGTGGCCACCGTGCGCGTGACGGACGCCGCGCGCCGCGCCGTGCACGCCGCGCTCGACATCTCCATGTTCGTGCGCACCAGGAAGCCCACCGGCCAGATCTTCTACCTCGGCTCGCTGCCCAGGTGCGAGCGCACACGCACACACGTGCACACACGCACGCACACACGCACGCAACACACGTACACTAATGCACGCAACAAATGCGCGCACACACGTTCACTCAGCATCATACACTCACGCACGTACATACACGCTCACACGCAAGCATGCATTCACGCACACGCGCACACGTACACGCACCTGTACACATTATACATCTTATCAATGACGAACTATGTAAAAAATAATATAAAATGTATGTAACATACTATATGTACGTATTATTATAGGGCCCATCCATCGGATGAAACGCAAGTGAGCGCGTCTTTGTTCGGCGGCGAGCTGCTAGTACACCTGCGCTTCAACCAGACCTCGGAGAACTACACTGTCGGCGGCACGCGCCTCGACAACGGACATCTGCACCTTATACAGGCACGTACTAGCGCTCCGACCTTGTTACTAATACATTGGCTAATATATGACAAGTCAATAGGACAGTGCCTCTAATATGATCTGTTCCGCTGCAAAGGTGGTGCGCAACTCTACGTTGGTGCAAGTGAAGCTTAACGGCACCGAGTACTTCCGCAAATCGATATCGGCCGCGAAACAACTGGATGCGCAGGTACACGCTTACATTTCGCTACACTCGAAATATTACATATTAGAATAATGATTAATAAGTAACAAATGATGTATGTGTATATCATCATCACCGTTTCAGCCATTATCCGTCCACTGCTGGACATATACCTTCTCCATAGACTGCCACAAAGAACAGTCCTGAGCCTCCACTGATGCATCCACTGACTCCCTGCAGGGCATTTTAGGTCGTCACTCCATCTAATGGGGGGTCGTCCTACACTGCGGTTTCCCGAGGGATGGGCAGCAGCGTCCCTCTTAAAATAATATTTGAAATCAAAAGACCTAACTGCGGTTGCCAACCCGCCTGCCAAGCGTAGTAACTATTGGCAACTCCCCCCCCCCAATGGTAAATACCGTCAATGTATATATGTATATGAATAATATATGTGCGTGCGGCCAGGTGCTGTACCTGGGCGGGCCGCCGCCGCCGCCGTCCGCGCCGCCCACCGGTGCCGCGCCGCCGGCTGCCGCGTCCGCGCCCGCCACCACGCCGGCGCCCCTCGAACACGACGACGCTGACTACTTCAAGGGCGTCATACAGGACGTGCAGGTCAATGTTTGTTTAGTGTAAACGTGCCAAGAGTTGATTGCAGTAGTAAACAGTTTTATATTTTGGTGTATTCATTTGTATAATGGTGCAGGTGTCGAACGGCGTGAACGTGACCATAGTGGAGTTCTTCCCGCTGCAAGTGCCGGGGCTGGAGCTGCCACCGCCATTCGGGGAAGTGACCCTGGACCCAGAGGGCGTGCTGCCCGGCGTGGTGTCGGACGACGCCTGCGCCTCCCACCCTTGCCTGCACAATGCCACCTGCACACTCACCTGGAATGACTACACGTACGTCACACACGCACACACACACTATGTATGAGGATGTGAGTCTGGACCCAGTGTAGAATTGTTAAAAGCTCGAGGAAAAAACACAATAAGAATCGTGTACGTTACTATTATTAATAATAATCACCAGAGGGAGACTTTGTACAAAAGTCATTTGCTTGGGTATGGCGTGAATTTACAGGGTACAGAGGAATAACACTTGAGTCCTCAGGAATGGCAACACATGGGGGGTATCATGGGCGAAACAGTATACTCTGTTATGTCCATAGTACTGCTCATGTCAATAGGCGACGGTTACCACTTTCTATCAGGTGGGCCGTCAGCTTGTTTGCCGTTCTAAGTTGCATAAAAAAAAAATTAGATTACATATTGTGATGTGTTTTATTGCCTTTCATTATATGATTATTATATCGAATACATATATTATGATGCAGGTGCACGTGTCTGCGTGGCTACAAGGGTAAGCAGTGCGCGCAAGTGGAATTTTGTCAGCTGCAGGACTGTCCGTCCAACTCGCACTGCAGGAACCTCGACGCCGGGTAACTAACATTAACAAGTGTAAATTATTATATATATCTACCTTAATATAGCTCAAAGTTATACAGATCACTTTTATAGGTATAAGAAAATTATTGGATGTTTCCTTCAAATTAAAAATCAAATCATATTTATTCGCTAGCTACATGGTAAAATAAGATGTTAGACCACACCAGACACATTCACCAGAGGGAGACTTTGTACAAAAGTCGATTGCTTGGGTATCTCTGTCCCATTCGTGTTTCAACCGTGAAGCAGTTGTGTTTGCATGGCTGTGTTTAGGTTTGAAGGGTGGGATATGGCGTGAATTTACTGGGTACAGAGGAATAACACCTGACTCCTCAGGAATGGCAACGCATGGGGGGTATCATGGGCGAAACAGTATACTCTGTCATGTCCATGGTATATAACACACATACTCATGTGTATAGGCGACGGTTATCACTTTCTATCAGGTGGGCCGTCAGCTTGTTTGCCATTCTAAGATGTATAAAAAAAAATGTTACAGCTTGTTCTCTGAATTATTCCACATACAGTACGAATACAATTTTTTCTGAGCAATGAAAGCTGTTGCTGTATGTACAGAGTTGCCTCATATTAAAGTACCAAATCTGAGAATAGAACTTGTATGGGTAACTCTGTGAAAATGTGATCATATTTGGTCAGGTACGAGTGCGTGTCGAACGCGACGTTCGACGGCGTGAACACGACGCTGTCGTACCGGCTGCGCGTGCCGCGCGGCCTGCCGCTCGCCGGCGACGCGCTGCAGCCGCCGGACTCGCTCACCCTCACCTACAGGTACTGCGTACACAACACGCAACACGCAACACAACACGCAACACGCAGCACAACACGCAACATGCCTCCACAGCTCATAAAATATACACATGTTTCCAATATCAAATCAATTTGTTTACAAGCACTTTTAAATCGTCATTTCTTTTTTAATCTACTGTAGTGTTCGTAAGGTTGTTATTTGTTGAGAGGATCCTGCACGAAACTCAATAGTTACTCTTTTAAATCTTTTGTTAACATTATTTGTATTTATTTAAATGTACTATGTCTAAAATTACACGGTCGTTAAAAGCCTGTGTGTGATTGATTAACACAAATGTGTATTGTCATTCAAGTAGTAGTTTAGCGTATAATAGGCATTGTTTAATAAGTGTTTTTATTAACAATTTTAAACTTATTAAAAGACAGATCTAAAATATCCTTCTGTATCTTGTTGTAACATTTAATGCTCATTCCCATAAAAGACTTATTAAATTTTTCTAAACAATACTTTGAAACAGTAAGTTTGCATTCGTATCTAGCGTTAAGATTATGAGAGAGAATAGAGTATTAGACGTTGCTGTCTACTTGCTTCTCTGGATAGTTATAATAAGTAGGTTTCACGTGGTCGGTTACAATAGTGTGTACACGTGCGCAGGAGCAAGACTGGCGGCACGCTGTTCCGCGCGGTGCTGCCGCCCGGCGGCGGCGGTGGTGGCGGCGGCGAGCAGTCCGTGTTCAGCGTGGGCGCGTACAAGGAGCAGGTGACGGTGGAGTGGCGGCTGGCGGGCCGCGAGCCGGCGCTGCAGCGCATGCGCGCGCGCGACCACCTGCACTGGACCACGCTGCGCTTCACACTGCACGCCGACCGCGCCGAGATACACGGTGCGCCGCCCCTAAACTCACAATAACATTACTTTCCAAATCATAAAAAAAAATACGACATAAAAAGCTGTTCAGCGACTCCTAAAATTTTTGTTAGGATATCCATTTTGAGATATTAAGATAGATAAATTAGTAACATGTGTATTAAGGTGTAGCTGTGTGCGCGTGTTGCAGGCGTATTCGTGGAGGCGGACGGGCACGAGGAGGCCGGGTTCGTGGCGGCCATCGACGTGGCGGCGTGGCAGCAGCTCGTCACAGACGGCGACATACACCTGGGCGGCGTGCGCCGCGACTACCTCCCGCCCGCCACCACCGCCATCACGGTGCGCATTACTACGCCTACATTCTTTTTATACAACTTAGAATGGCAAACAAGCTGACGGCCCACCTGATGGAAAGTGGTAACCGTCGCCTATAGACATGAGCAGTACCATGCACATAACATAGTATACTCTCTCGCCCATGATACCTGCCATTTGCCATTCCTGAGGACTAAGGTGTTATTCCTCTAAATTCGCGCCATATGCGCCCACCCTTCAAACCGAAATACTGCTGTACAAACACAACTGCTTACCTAGTACTCGTAATTTAATATTGCGTATCAACTTCTGTTTTGTAAAATTACAAATTAAAAGAAGATTACAATATAGATTTAGAAACCATTTTTCGCTTCTGTATATATTTTTTTATTTATATAAACATTATTTAGCTTCAGCCTGAGAACTCTACGGACTTGGCCGTGTTGGAGTACACAGAGGGCGCCCAGTATGCTGCGGACAACTTGGACGGCGGATACTTTAAGGTTCCGTACACTTTTAATATAGATTTGGAGTAAAAAGTAGATGAATGAGGGTGTGCAAAACGTGGCACCTAGCTTAAGTGATAATTTCCTAATATTCTCACCAAGTGGTACTTAATTGATTAGACATTTGATTCCCAGACACTTCCAAAAGGTAAAACGTAAAGAGGAATAAAATCAGTGGACACGGAATTTTAAATTTATTTAAGATTCATGAAATTAACAAATGTTTTAATAAAGTATATTATAATTTTTTGGATTTTTTTTTTGCCTTAACATAAAATATATTTAGCATATTTATCGCAGGGTTGCATGGGCGCGGTACACGTGGGGTCGCTGCTGTTACCATTCTTTACGGAGGAGGAGCTGTTCGTGGGTTCGGCGGCCGGCCTACTCGCCGCGCAACCACACTACGCACTATTGTTAGTTATTCTTATATAATATTATTTATTTAAACTTAAAAATTATGTATCGAAGTTGCTCGTGTGACGTAAGTACAAATTAAAATGTCTGAGAGTTAAGCTTCGCCTGGCCAAAATTAGAGTGTACTGTAAATTGCAACTGTCAGGTCTGGGCGCGGATGGGGCGCGGCGGAGGGCGTGGGCTGCGTGCTGTGCCTGGAGCAGGACTGCGAGCGCGGCGGACACTGCGCCGACGTGCGCAGCTCGTACGCCTGCGCCTGCCCGCCCGGCTACGTGGGCGACCACTGCGAGGTCGGTGCCGCGCTGACCAGGGCGCTCAGCCGAAACCAGTGCTCCGCCACCTCCAACAGTTTACATTAATTAATCCACAAATGAATGTTGCAGACCGACGTAGACGAGTGCCAGGAGAACAAGTGTCAGAACGGCGCCACGTGCCAGGACGGCGTCGCCATGTACACGTGCATCTGCCCGGTGGGCTTCGAAGGGGAGCTGTAAGTGTGGTATCGGCATGTGGTTGGCATGGAGCGGTGGCGCGTATCATGGAGCAGGTTGCGTGTGCGCAGGTGCGAGGTGGACCGGGACGAGTGCGCGTCGTCGCCGTGCGCGAACGGCGGCACGTGCTCGGACGCGGCGGGCGGGTTCTCGTGCCGCTGCCCGGCCGAGTGGCGCGGCGCGCGCTGCGACGAGCCGCGCCGCCGCCGCTGCGCGCACCGGCCCTGCGCACGCGGCGCGCGCGCCTGCCGCGACCAGCCGCCCGGTACGCACGCACGCACGCACGCACGCACGCGCGCACACACATATAATAATACACTTACAAACTTTTCATAATTAAAATTTATAGTACATTACTGCAGCAGCCAGCAACTGAAGCATTGATGGATGAACGTTCAAATGTGGGCCGAGGCGTAGCCGAAGCACACATACGTGAGTCCATCAATGCCTAGTTGTGGCCAAGGCTTGACTTTTCTCAAACAATGCGCGGAAATCAAAAACACAATTTTACTTTTTAAATTCAATGATGAATAGCGAACAATAATAATTTGTCACGCACCATAATGTTCCTTTGTTTTTTTTTTTTCAATAAACAGCTTTCTATTTGCATCCAGTTCAAAATTTAAATAAAACCTTTTATAAGTTACCTCCTTGGTAGCCATGTTTCGAAGTAAAAGGTCATTCCATTTTTAAATTACAGAACAGATATGAGTTTACATAGTAATTTATCTGGCCGCAAAACACGACAGATATGGATTTTTATACAACTTTTGCCGGCCGCTGCCCGCATGTATCTGGCCAGTACGACAATTTGGATTTATCACTACACATACACCCACGCATACATTTACCCTCTTTACAATTGGTGACCATGATTTTGTATTATTTAATCATTGCTGTCAATATCTGAACTTTAACAACATGAATTTAATTATTTTATATATCAATTAACTTTATGGACACTCACTATTATATATGGGTTCCTTACATACATGTGCTTATATTACTTGCATACACCCACTCTAACTTGCCTACCTCGCTATAGAATCAAAATTTTTGTTTGTATAAGTAAAATCCGTTATTGGCTGTATTCATAAGAGACTTAGCATGTAAGTTATTTTTTAAGAGCTGTGGATTTTTGTATAAAATAAAATAAAAAAATAAAAAATAAAATCTCGAAGAAGATTGTCAAAATAATGCTCACATATCCAAGCATGTTTGGGATTTTTTTTTTTTTATTTCTAAGTAATTATTAAATGCAACAATTTTATTGCATATTAATTATATAGGTAGATGGTTCTCTCTTTACACATCACCAAAGCCTAACTGCAATTGCTAATCTGCTTACTAAGTGTAATATTTACTGATAACCAAGAGATTTTGTTCAGTAGTGGATAGCTAATGGCTGATATAAAGATATATTTTGTTAACTATATTTGAAAAATATGAAACATGTATTGTCTATGTTCAGATCCGCCGACGGGCAACAACTACACGTGCGAGTGCCTGGAGGGCTTCGAGGGCGTACACTGCGAGAGCGCGTTCTGCGAGGTGGAGCCGTGCGTGCACGGCGTGTGCGTCGCCGAGCCGCCGGTGAGTGCGTGCAGTACGTGTACGTGCGTGTAGTGACGTGTAGTGACGTGTAGTGACGTGTGCGTATGTACAGGAGCCGCGCTGCGAGTGCGAGGCGGGCTACACGGGCCGGCGCTGCGAGGCGGAGCGCGACGAGTGCGCGGAGGCCGGCGCCGCCGCCTGCCTGCACGGCGGCCGCTGCCTCGACCAGCGCGCCGGCTTCCGCTGCGACTGCACGCGCACAGGTACCACGCCACGCCACGCCACCACGACCACCTAACTGTTTAACGTCGGAGGAAAGGGATTGTTAGTAATGGAGACTGAGAATCCCATTGCTAGCAATATACCCAACCAGGTCCACCTCCTCGCGGTCCTCCCTGGAAGCTATCATGGTTAATTCCTGATGAATTCATCATGATGGGCTAACTGGCCTGTTTTCATTCTCATCTATCACCCTTCACTGGTGCTCCGCCAGCGTATCCCGTTAGCGCGGGCGGAGTTACCATACTATTTACACTCATAAAAAAAAAAAACTGTTTAACATCGTCTTCTACACATAAGTACATTTTGTTGTTGTTTTTTTTTTTTTTATACAACTTAGAATGGCAAACAAGCTGACGGCCCACCTGATGTAAAGTGGTAACCGTCGCCTATAGACATGAGCAGTACCATGGACATAACAGAGTATACTGTTTCGCCCATGATACCCCCCATGCGTTGCCATTCCTGAGGACTCAGGTGTTATTCCTCTGTACCCTGTAAATTTACGCATTCATGTACAAAAGAGCAACGACTCGAATCGCGACCAGAGTTGTTTCATAGACATGTTACATTGATAATTTCATTTAATTTTGCTCCAAAAAGAAAACAAATACACTCGTCCTGATATTTATTTGAATTCAAAACGTGACATTGTATTAAGCCCTTAAAAAAGACAGTAATCTCAATTATACATGGTACTCTACATATAAATTGGCAGTTTTCTCATAAGTGTCTTAAAAGTTTAAGATTGCGTCCAACAAAGAAAAGCTTGAATTGTGACCAATTTTTTTTTTATTTAAAAACTAAATTAAAAACCGATTTCAATTGTGCCTAAACTGCTGATCTGATTTTGATAAAATTTCTATGGAACAAGTAGATTTTTTCAGATAAAAAATAATTTTTAAAACGGTTTAGAACTGACAAAGTTATAAGGTAACAACAAATAAAAAAGTAATGATTATAAAAAACATAAACGAGTCGAGAACTTCCTTCTTTTTGAAGTTAATTAAAAATAAATAGAAATTTTGACAAAATCAATATGGAACCAACACACAAATAAATTATTTATATGCATCTTTAATACAAGTTTAATAACAAAAAAAAATACATAAAAAATAAATAAAAAATAAGATAAATTAGATGATATTAACGTGTCCTAAATTAAATAAATCGATTTTAAATTACAACGCAAATTAGAGTAAAAATATGAAAAAGTAAAACAATATATGAATTCATTACAAATTCTTAATAATATTTATACAGAAAATATTACATTTATAAATCTCAAATGATATGTATACGAGAGGCGGCCGCAGTGTTTGCTAATGCGGCCCGCGGCGGCGGCGGTCACGTGGCCGCCCCGCCACGATAGCGCGCTATCTTATCGCCGCGATTCATACGATACAATCCGATCCAGTGATAGCGGCCGGCCAGCGCTTCCCAAACATCACGTGCACGAGTTATATTTACTGCATTCACTCACTCACCCACTCACGGTCGAATGCGTTTCATTTAATTACCTGTCAGTGTGCAAATATTATCTTATTTTATTTATGATGTAATTAAAAAATGGCGAACAACTGTTTGTCAGTTAATCAATTGTGAAAAGAAAAACTAGTAAACGAATACATTATTTTCACGTTTAATTTGAACAGTCGATTTATTATATCAATAATGAAACATGATAAAAACTGGAATATCATTTAATCAGAGGGAGACTTTGTACAAAAGTCGATTGCTTGGGTAACTCTGTCCCATTCGTGTTTCAACCGTGAAGCAGCTGTGTTTGCATGGCTGTGTTTCGGTTTGAAGGGTGGGATATGGCGTGAATTTACTGGGTACAGAGGAATAACATCTGAGTCCTCAGGAACGGCAACGCATGGGGAGTATCATGGGCGAAACAGTATACTCTGTTATGTCCATGGTACTGCTCATGTGTATAGGCGACGGTTACCACTTTCCATCAGGTGGGCCGTCAGCTTGTTTGCCATTCTAAGTTGTATAAGAAAAAAAGGAAAATATTGATTATACTGTCGTATATTGTTAGTGTACAATGAACATTGACGAGGAAAAAGCATGTCCAGCTCGAAACTAATATAAAGAAGAAAGATTGGATATGTGTTTGTAATGGATAAAGTTAACGAATACTTGAGCCATTTTACAAAACTCTCTCATCTGTAGGTATCATCAAGCTATATTATCGTACATGGGGTGTATTTTATTAAAAAAAATAAACTGCTAGTTTTATAACGTGTATAACAGAAAAAAGAACTAATATGTATTATGAAAAACTCACAATTTCTATTTAAATTAATTGTCATGTATTTATGTCGAATAAATTAAAGAATTGATTGACAACCGAGGCTCGATACCAATGAATAAAACAAACACTCGTACAAGTGTCACATAGTATAGTAGTCACATATGAATACATTGAACACGAGCCCACCGCGGCCTGCGGCGCGGCGGTGACGCGCGGGTGACGTCACGCGATAACGAACAGCCGAACGGAGTATGGCACAGTTTGTGATTCACTGGCACGCGGTATCGAGGGCACCGGGCATCGCGGAACGGACTATTTATTGGTGTTGTTCCATTGAAAGAGTGCGTGGTGGTACGTGGATGCGCTTATCGCAGTGGTGATGTGTGCCGCGGTGTGCTCGGTGATGGTGGGCAGCCGATGACCCGCCGCCTGGTCACGTGCCGGTCTAAGCGCGACATGCTGCTGACGTGGCTGCTCCTCGCCCTACTAGGTACTGACGCTCACAGTTTGAAGTGCAAAACCAATCTCATGTCATGTCTCTACGAGTGACTGTTTTAGCTAAGTTTTACTTATTAATCAAGATGCAATTAAAAATAAACTAATAGAAATACATAAATATATATATGTATATATATAGATTAACCTTGTTAATATTTTATCTGTTTTCGAAGGCAGCGTAGACACAGCGAAGAAGGTAGCATAAGGTCTCTCTAGAGGGCGCCACTTTTACTAAAGTGATAATCATCATCTCCCTAGCCTTATCTCAATTATTATTTGTGGTCGGCGTAATATATATTTTATCCATATTACTAAAGGATTTGGCTTATAGTTTTACGAGCGGCCGCCTGCCTGACGTCAACCCTCTTTGGGAACTTCTACTAGTGATGATATCGCTTGCTAATAACCACAGATTCTCCAAAAACAATGCCTTGATTTGAAGGTACCAGTAAATGTAATGAGAGGATCTTCAAGTAACGTAGACGTCCAAACAAAGATATTTGATTCTAGGTATTTTACACAGGTTAATAGTGTGTACATGTAACGTGAAGTGACAAAGACGTATGTTATCAATACTACAACTGTGACATATATATATATATATATATTATATATATATATATATATATATATATATATATATATATATATATATATATATATATATATATATATATATATATATATATATATATATATATATATATATATATATATATATATATGTATATAAAGGTAGTTGAAAATAGATTTCTTATACGTTCTAGAACGGCGATTATTAGATTCAAATGTAAAATGATACATACACAGATGCCCGTGCCCTTGATTAATACACAAGAAACTTTAAAACTAATTTACAGTGTATAATATTCAGTACATACAAACACATAATTTATTTAATGATACACTGCAACAAAGCAACCAGAGGGAGACTTTACAAAAGTCGATTGCTTGGGAACCTCTGTCCCGTGTTTCAACCGTGAAGCAGTTGTGTTTGCATGGCTGTGTTTCGGTTTGAAGGGTGAGATATGGCGTGAATTTATAGGGTACAGAGGAATAACACCCGAGTCCTCAAGAATGGCAACGCATGGGGGGTTTCATGAGCGAAACAGTATACTCTGTTATGTCCATGGCACTGCTCATGTCTATAGGCGACGGTTACCACTTTCCATCAGGTGGGCCGTCAGCTTGTTTGCCATTCTAAGTTGTATAAAAAAAATAGGAAATACAATAAATGAGAAGTACCAAGGGCGTCACAGTATATTCTGTGACGTCCTATACATGTTCTGTTCGTATGTATAGGTAACGATTACTATGTGGTCCCTCGGCTTGTTTTGCTATTGTATAAAAAAAATATTAATATAATAATAATAACTACTATAATTGTATCAATGAATGTTACGTACTGTATGTAGCCACAGCGTATGAGTCAGGAGCGACCGCGAGCAGTCACCGCGGTCGTGCTGCGGTAATCGGTGCCTCTACATTTGTCATACTGTACTCATTATTTCAAGTTCATTATAATAGATCGCTTCCGTGGCGCATCGGTGGCGCGCTGCTTCGCGTGAACCATATTCGGGCTTGACCAATTTGGGTATCGAATGTTGGTGCTGATGGTTTAGATGGATAGATAATTTATTTGCATTACTTACAGCACATAAACAACAATAGACATAAAGGGGGGGGGGGGGAGGGATTGTTAGCAATGGAGTTCGACATTGCTAGCAATATGCCCTATTAGGTCGACCTCCACGTGGTTCCCCCTGGAAACCATCCTGAGCAATTCTTGTTGAATTCGTCACGATGGGCTAATTGACCTGCTTCATACTCACCTTTCATCCCTCACTGGTGCCCCGCCGGTGTATACCAATAGCGCAGGTGGGGTAACCACTCTATTGCAGTAAAAAAAGATTTAAAAAAATATACAAAAAATAAAAATAAAAAAACAAAATGCCTAAAATAAGTAACAATTTTTCCTTTCATGCGTGGTTTGGTATTATGATATTACCTTTGTACTGTTCAGCCAGTTTTGGTTTGAGACATGAATGTATTTTTAAATTAGCTTAAACTTGGGTGTTCTGTGCTGAGGTCTAGGTGTTCGTTACTTAGTCCCATAGCTTGATAATATAGTAATCTAGTATAATGTATACTGTAATTTATGATATTTTTAAAGTAGAAGAATCGAGCCCTATAAAATCAAAAGCAGTTAAACGCCATAAAATCGATTTCATTTTCACTCTGTACTCAAATATTTCTCTTAGTTACAAATTCTGTTAATTAAAATTCAAATTATTACTAATATTCTAATTTTCTTTAATTTGGTTTAAAATATAAAATATCGTTCCATGTCCTTTACAAAATATTAGGTTTTGTAGTTTCCTAAACATTTGACAGACTTGTATTTAGCTGTCTTTGATTTTATTGGCCTTTATTAAGCTTAAATGTGTATTTATATTACCGTGTGGTCCCGGTATAGAATGGGTCACCTCTTCCTTTCCCGTGGGTGTCGTAAGAGCAGACTAAAGGAGGGCGAGGGATGGGCAGAAGTGTCCTTTTTAAAACATCTCTCAAAGCCTAACTACGGTTGCCAATTTGCCTGCCAAGCGTGGCAACTACTGGCAAAATTCCCAAGTGGGAGGCTTATGTCTAGCAGTGGACAGTTAAAGGCTGATATGGATGATGATATGTATTAATGTTATTTTATTAAGAGGTTATTTGATTCTATAAGTTGTAACGACCGAATTGGGACCACAGACCATACGTTATGGTAATATCAGATTTTATGGTCAATTTATATAACACCTTATGCCTCAGGAATGGCAACGCATGGGGGGTATCATGGGCGAAACAGTATACTCTGTTATGACCATGGTACTGCTCATGTGTATAGGCGACGGTTACCACTTTCCATCAGGTGGGCCGTCAGCTTGTTTGCCATTCTAAGATGTATAAAGAAATTATATTGTATATTTTGTCATGTTTATATCAACTTTCTCACTTATGACAATGTGGTACATAATTATTTGAGTGGAGGCAGTTGTTATGAGCAGTGCATTACAAGTGGCGTGGCGTGGTGTGTGGTGTGCGGTTGCAGGGTGGACGGGCGCGCGGTGCGAGGTGGACGTGGACGAGTGCGCGAGCGGCGCCGTGAGCTGCGGGCCCGGCGACTGCCTCAACCTCGACGGCTCCTACACGTGCGTATCACGCCCGCTGCACCACCGGCTCGCTCTCACACAATAACATGACGTCTTCATTCAAACATTCACAAAATGCACATTATACTTACCTCTTTCTATTAGATCAGCGCAATCTCTTGCCTCGTTCAAGAGGCAGGTAGAATCTCTTTACCTATCTCTCTAATTTGCTTTGACGTTTACTATGTGTGATTTATCTTGATCTATTTAGTATATTTATGTTTATGTATTATTATTTATATTATATATGTATGTTTATGTATTGTAATCTTATTTTTATATTTAGAATATTTTGCATTTTGTTCGATTCCTTCTATGTATTTACTGTGTCTGACTTGCGCCATCTACCGTTCTCTCTGTACTTATCCGTTCTTCATGCCAGGTTGTCTGTAAGAGATTGCTTTTAGCGATATGGCCGCCTTTTGTATATGCACATTCTGTATAAATACTCCTTATATATATATATATTTTTATTTATATTGTCTATTATTAATTGGGTTTGTTTGTGTGCTCATTACTACATATATATCTGTTATTTTGATTGTTTTCCTTAGATCTATGGTTCCTACTCTGTTTCTCCTTTTAAGGTCAAATATGCTCTTTTTCATAGCACATTGATAATCTACAAATTCGATTTTTTTTTTATTTTGACTATTTGTAATAGCCGAAGTCTGCCAATCATTTATTAGTATTATTGGAATACGGGCTTCAAACAATATACATGTAAACTTGATGTTAAAATTTACTATGAATGAATGAATGGTTTATTTTCTCTTCACAAAAGGTAGAATAAAGTAACAACATGAGGTACAATGTGATATGAAGACCAATTTTGTGAGAGACTGGTGCTTGCGATAGGTTTAGAAGAGCCTGTGTTACAAGTCACCAGTGCCCCATCTCCATGGACTACACAAATACAAGGCAACCAATTAGTGTTACAATACACAGATAACAATAATAAGATATAAAGTGCAAGAATAAACTTAACATTCAAAGTACTTTATAAAATATTAATTATATTAAGAACAGCTTCATTATTTTTGAAAATTGACAGAATATAGATGTTACAGAGTTTACAATGGACGCTTTCATGATGGTGTTTTTTTTACTAATGAATCCCACTACTGGCGATTCCTGTATGTGGGCGAGGTGTGAGATGTAAGGTGCGTGCAGGTGCCAGTGCACGGCCGGGTTCTGCGGGAACGAGTGTGCGCTGAGGGACCCGTGCCTGGAGCCGGCGGCGGCCGCTGGTGGTGGCGAGACTGGTGAGGCTGGTGAGGGTGGCGACGGCGGCAACAGCACGGGCCCGTGCCTGCACGGCGGCCGCTGCGAGCAGCGCTGCACCGCCACCACCGACTACGTGTGCCACTGCACCGCCGGCTGGACCGGCAAGAACTGCTCCTACCAGGTCGATACTCTTACCTTTAGTAGTTATGCGCTTGGAATTTCCAATTTATTTATTTGTAATAAGAAAACTAAAATCTAATTCACATACCAGTTACCAGAGGGAGACTTTGTACAAAAGTCGATTGCTTGGGTACCTCTGTCCCATTCGTGTTTCAACCGTAAAGCAGTTGTGTTTGCATGGCTGTGTTTCGGTTTGATAGGTGGGATATGGCGTGAATTTACTGGGTACAGAGGAATAACACCTGAGTCCTCAGGAACGGCAACGCATGGGGGGTATCATGGGCGAAACAGTATACTCTGTTATGTCCATGGTACTGCTTATGTGTATTACCGCGACGGTTACTACTTTCCATCAGGTGGGCAGTCAGCTTGTTTGCTATTCTAAGTTGTATAAAAAAAAAAACATAAATAGTTACAAAATAATAACAATAAATCGCTTGTAGGTTTTTAGCAATAAATGCATTATATAACATTTGGCAGTGCTTCCCTCAGATAAATAGTCTAAAGTTTCAAGTTAACAAATGGTTTCGATGAATTATGGTAACTACGGTGAATAGCATAGAATGTACTGAAAAATTCATAGTATTTTTTATATGTTGTCATTCCTGAGAATTTAGTTTTAACCCTTCTTTGCATGATTTTTTTTATTGGTGAAAAAAATCAAGGTGATATAATTCATGTTCAAAATTAATGGAAAAATGGTAAAAAAAATAAATTTAACAGCTATGTTTTTTTATGCAATGGACATTAAAAAGGTATCCAGACACGATCAACTTAAAGTGAATTTGTTTTTTTATATAAGTTTTGGACATTTAATGTTACGATGGAAATTGACACCAATATGCAAAGTGTTAATTTTTTCGGGTTTTGAGTTTACAGTGTTATATATAATGTGGTATATTTTACTTTTCAAATTAGTATATTATTGTACATATAGTCTTATAAATTAAAAATTATTTTTATACAGTTCAGTTTTTGTTAGGAAGTATTTGTATGAGTTTGTTTATTTATTTTCACTATTTAGGGACAGATTTCAAAAAGTATGTTACTTTAATTTTTTTTTTATCATAGTAATGGATTCGGTTCTCACACAATAGAAACAGTTGTATGTACGAATATGTTTATTTGTATCAGTTTGGGTGTTTTATATGATGTGTAAGTTTTAAGTATTTCTATAATTTTTTTAATGAGTGACAGTGGAATGGTAATCCCATTTGTGTTAACGGTATACACCGGCGGGACACCAGTGAAGGGTGATAGGTGAGGATGGAGCAGGTCAGGTTAGCCCACCGTGACGAATTCAACAAGAATTGTTCACGATGGTTTCCAGGGGGAACCACGTGAGGGTATATGGTATTATATTGGTAGCAAGAAGGCTGTCGAACTCCATTGCTATCGTGCGTGTGGTCGCGCAGGGCGCGTGGGCGGGCGCGGAGGGCGAGGCGGCGGGCGGCGGCGGCGGCGGCGGCGGGCGGGGGTGGGGCGCGGCGGCGGCGGGCGCGGGCGGCGCGCTGGCGGCGCTACTGGTGGTGGGCGGCGCGCTGGCGGCGCTGGGCGCGCAGGCGCGGCGCAAGCGCGCCACGCGCGGCACGTACTCGCCCTCGGGCCAGGAGTACTGCAACCCGCGCGCCGAGATGATCACGCACGCGCTCAAGCCGCCGCCGGAGGAGCGCCTCATATAGTGAGACTCGTATACATACACGCTACGCTCGGCGGACACGCTGTGCGCTGACACTTACACAGCCACGTGGAAAATTTATATTATTGTTTGTTTGCTCCGTCTGTCGATCCAGAAAATTCATCTAGAGTTTCGAACAGCTCATAAAAGTACACCTAAAAATTAAACCTACAAAATATATCATATTTTGCAATGAGAAATTTTCCCCATAGACGAAATGTTTATCATGCACCCGAGTCTGACGAGCCTTATCGGTCATATACTTTCAAACTTGTTTCCATTATTATAAACTACATCGACGTATTTAAAACTGTTTTAATTACATTTCTATAAACTGTAACATTTGACTTATGTTCAAATAAATATTTTTTATCCTATTCTTCCTGAGGAAAGAAGTACTCTTAAATAATTTTGCATATAGTTAAAACCTCCCCTAGCATCATGAAATGAGCACTAGAAGACAAATCTGGGAGAAACTCTGCCCCTCGGCTCAACTCCCCCCACGTCTATGATTAATAATAATATACTTTATTATCAGGTACTTAACTCATAGAAGACAATTGTATTACAACATGCTCAAATAACATATAAAAATATAACAAACAAAACATACAAAAACTTAACTTTATGGACACTCATTATTATACATGGTTTCTTTCATACATGCACTTGTATTACTTGCACATGCATACACCCACTCTAACTCGCCTGCCTCGCTTTGGAATTATAATTCTCGTTTGTATAAATAAAATCCGTTATTGGCTGTATTCATAAGAGACTTAGCATGTAAGTTGTGGTTTTAAGAGCTGTGGATTTTTGTATAAAGTAAAACAAAAAAAAAAAAATACATAAAAATTAAAACACGTACAAAATGTATAAAAAGTAAAGTACAATAATACAGCGAACACAGTTGTCATATAAAAACAACCAATCCACAAATAGTGCAAGAAAATAATACGCCGCAACATAACACGCGCCTGCGATAATGTGATTAAAACGTGCGCATTATTTTTCAGATTTCACAAGACTCGGCATCATCAAGGGCACGGATACATTGAATCAGATAAGGAGACTCGTCGCATATCAACCAAATGTGTATGTGTTGTGTGGGTGTGTGTGTGTGTGCGCGTGGATGGACGCGTGTGTGCATACGCTTGTTATTGTTCAAATGTTTGTTGCGCGTGTGCGTATAACGGTGTACCTGCGTTTTATATAGCGACGTGTGTTTGTATGCGTGTGTGTGTGTGTGTATGTGTGTGTGTGTGTATGTGTGTGTGTGTGCATAATTTAATAATTAGTTTTAAGGTTCACAATAGAGACGTTTTCGTTATAAGTAAATATTGTGAAACTGTACGCATGTATCACAGCGGGCGCTCACTCTACTGACACGATGACGTGAAGCGAGAAACAAATATATATATTAGTAACAATTTTATATTAGATAAAATATAGTATGTACTTAGAGATTGATGTAATATGACTAACAAACATGACACGTGCATGATTATTTATTATTATTATACGGAGACAGAGGAACGTTGTGCCTGAAACTGCAATTTTTAAACTTTGTACTTACAATTTATTAGATTATGAGGAAATTTTTAAAACCTTAAATATTTGTGTGTGAAAGGATTTTGAGCGTGGTACTAGCAGAGACCAGAGGGCCTACAATGAAATATTTTCCGAAATTTCGGGCACGAACGAAACAGAAATTTGATGTTAAAATTACATAATACATGTCGTTTAAAATGATTAAAAATGATAAAATATCGTTCCTCTGGACTATTAGGATACGATTTATGATGTACGAAATGTTAAGCTCCATTTACTGGCTCGATTTAGGTACGAACAAAAACACGAAATTGAGCCCGAAAATTCGGATTTTCGTTTCATGGTAGACCGCCAGGGTACAGTATTACAAGCAGCGTGACAGCCGACCGGCTGAACGAAACGGTACTTCGTCATTCATACAGATTGTAACATTCAGAAGTACGAGCATACTTTTTAATTGTAGATTGTATTAAATATATGAATTTACATATATTGCAACTGAAGGGCATACACTTCGAGGCGGGTTCGACTTGTGACGTGACAACAACGCTGCAACTTTAAAAAAATGGCAAAAGCATGCTTTTGTAAACGAAAAAATTATCTTAGAGTTCAATCTATGGTATCTAATGATAAATGTAATGTACATTTTACTAAAAAGTGTCCAGCCACACACACACGCGTGTATTTTTTTTATATACAAATGTTATATGTTGTGGCGGTTGTTAGCTGTGATAGTGGTCGGCCCGCCACCGCCTCGTATTCTTAGCGTATGTAAGTGTAAGTGGAACTAAAAAGCGTGCAACATTCTAAATTACATTGTAGTGAAGGCGGCTATCGCCCGTCAGTCCCGCAGCGGCCCCGCACTCGCGCCCCCCCCCCACACCCCACCCCCCTCCCCGCCACCACCACTCGCGTATTGTAAATATATATATTAAAAATTATATTTACATAGGCGAGGCTCTAACGATCATATTGTGTTTACTCTAAAAGATTACAGTAGAAAATTCATTATAAATACAAACAATTACAAGAAATGTTCATAGTGAGAAAACACTGGCCCGTCGCTAAAAGATTTATATAATCGGGTCTTTTTTTTTATACAACATAGAATGGCAAACAAGCTGTCGGCCCAACTGATGGAAAGTGGTAACCGTCGCCTATAGACATGAGCAGTACCATGGACATAACAGAGTATACTGTTTCGCCCATGATACCCCCCATGCGTTGCCGTTCCATTCTATTGAACACTGGTCGCACCTATAGACACTCCGTTTGCGTTTTATGTAATTCTTCTCTGTATATTCGCAAAGATAGTACTGTGTCTGTGAGTCAGTTTATTTGAGACCACAATCTTGCTTTTTTTTTTCTTTAAGACCGTTAAATTTTAACATAAGAATGTGAAACTGGCACTAAACGCGGAGCTAGTTGTGGTATTTTCATGTTAAAAAATAAGTAATTTATATCTACATCTACACTAATATTATAAATAGGAGAGATTTGTATTTTTGTATGTATGTTTGTAATGAATAAACTCAAAAACTACTGATTTCGAAAATTCTTTCACCGTTAGAAAGCTACATTCACCCTGAGTAACATAGACTATATTGATTGCTAGCAAAAGATTAGGGATCTTTACTAAAACTTTAGTAACGTAACTCAAGGTGTAAAGATAATGCTATAAAATATCTTTCGTCGCGTGCGCTGCGGAAACTATTGGTGATAGAACAAAAGTACGTTCTACAATATTGAAGAAAATATCGATAACTACAAAAAACTTCGCGACACTATATGTCCAACTATTATCGTTATGTCACAATAACCACTTTTTAAAATGTTGTAAAAATGTCCACCCGTGCGAAGCCGGGACGGAACGCTAGTAATATATAAATGAAACGATTATAGTAATTTGTACTGTGCAGTAGATCATTTGGTCCGTTTACTTTCCCAGTTTGATATAATTACAATAGTGAAATGTTAAATATAATAGTAGCGGTGTGGCGGTAGAGTAGCGGCGGGGTGCGGGGCGCGGGGTGAGGGGTGCGGGGCGCGGGCGCGGCGGAGCGGCGAGCCGTCCGTGCCTTAACCAAAAGTCTGTATATTTGAGAGCTGTATACACTTAGCAATAAGTTAACATTTACTATGTAAACGTATTAACAATTGTAGTATTAAGTACAGTGAGCAGATCCACTCGCCTGGAGACTAGCGCCGCGCGGCCACCAGGGGGCGCCTACTTACTGCGCAACCTGTAGTATTATTGTCCAGTACTTACACGGAACTTGTACTTACGCTTTATACTTACGTTGCTCAACACACATTCCAAGGCCCGCGAGGCTTGTATTGTATTGTTTTTATTGAATGAAATCTGTAAAATATAAATTGTAGACGTTTGAAGAAAGCGCGACCGTACGGTGTAAATATCACGCACCATCACAACTGGACACGTGACACGCGTGCATGGTGTATTATATGGTGTATAAATATACTTCTTTATTCCTAAACTATCATAAACTCCTGGTAAACTTTTAACTAAAATGCATTGAAAATATCTCAAAATCGAAGTAGTAATTTTTTTACGATAGTGCAATAAAATTTCTAAAGACTGGAAATATCCATGGGCACAGATTCATTTTCTGCGTGTTCTGTAATTAAGAACTTATTGGCCTACCCTCTTTTGAAAACGTATCATTGTACGTATGTTTCTTAATTTATTGCTCCATACATTTTTCAATTTTATTCTCACGCCATGTTTCTTCTTCGTCTGGTCGCTCCTCGACTCGTTCGCGCTTTCTTCACATGCTAGTGATAAAACGTGTAAAATATTGTGATATGTATTTTTTTTTTCAATCAAGTTTTATTATTCGATTTTTTTTTGTATTCGTTGCTGCAAATAATATATTTCGGCAGCTCAGTTTATATCAAATTGTTATTTTACAATAATAAAATAAATGTATTGTGTACATTCCCATATTTTAGTAGATAGAATATTATATTAAGACATTACATAATGAACTATGATCAAATTTATATAATAATTGTACATAGCCTTATGTCGTATTCAACTGCATTCGGAAACTCACTGCAAGCAATGTTACCGTCCACAGTAATTCTTGTTCTACATGTGATTAGTTCGTGTGTTATTGCACGCCAGCCTATTGGCCTATTGACTCAATAAAGGGACTTTCTATTGCTAATTTGGTTGTTTTAATGTAATGAATAGAAAGGAAACAAGCCACTGGTTCTAAACACGTCCTTTATTCAAATACTGTACAGGCTGTATTATAAAGATAATATGATACAATAACAACGCGTCTCGCAGCTCACACACAGCAGGCGACCGGCCGTCGCGCAAACATCCCAAACATCCCCTCCCTTTAGGTGTGAACGCGCACTTATCCGCAACCAATTTCAAAATATAAAATCTCACGAAACCTCAGTCCTCGATATATAGTTTTAAAGTGAAGATAAGTACGCGTCCACGATAAATACATAGTTTGATTACACAGTCATAAGTTAATAAATAGTTCATTAATACTTGTAACTATGCAGGAATATATAGGTAAGTATTTCATACAAGTCACTATCGAGAGTTACGTTTCAATTTTTTTTTATTAAAATTATCACATCGTGAACTACGTCGCGATCAGATTATGCGATATTTTTAGTACCGTTTACTGCAATAATTACATGAATTTTTGATCCGTTTAACTCTATTACATAAATATATTAGACTGATCGCGAAGTGTTCGCGAGACGACGACAGGGACGGAGATGAAGCGGATCTTTGCCGAGTGCACAAGCGCAACCAAACACTCATTGGTGTTACAAATCGGACATCACACTTTATGCGCATTAAAATTGCTAATATTAATAATAATGGCGGTCAGATGGCGACCGGCCACGAGCGACGGCAAGCCACACGCTCAAGCTACCAATGCAAAGGAATGACTTAGATTTATCTCATCGTACGGAACTCTACGCGCTGCGACGTGCCCCAGTGCCCCACTGCAGCACGCGCGCGCGTCGGTTGGCACCGAGCCGAACGATCGCACGTTCTAATTCTCACACAAAATACATGGAGGGATTTCGGAAGTACATATTTGTTGTATAATTTATTAATTAAAAATTGTCATAAATTCACGAGAACATCACACGGGGGCCCGTGGGGGTGCGGCCCGCCTCAGTAACACGGTACACAACATTAATGCGGTCAAATGGTACACGTGATAAGTGGACCGCAGTACGGCGCACACGGCACACGGCACACGGCACACGCCTCCCTGTACACACACTGACGTAGCACCAGTTATGTGAGCACTTCATTGTACTACAATTATTTTGCTAAGGAGAATCAGACGGATGCACGCAGCGGCGACACCCCACCCGGCCGGAGAGCCGCTCGCTTGTTGCCACGTATTTATCGGATCTCCGGACGCCTGCGGTGTCGCCCTGTTCCCACCCATCGAATAATATAAACAACAAAATGTCAAGACATACTGGAAATAGTGACCAGAGAGCAGCACGAAGTCTCGTAGTCGTCGCGCGCACAGATCCTCGTTTCGCAAATAATAAAACGCATCTGTCGCGCGGTCGAGCGGCCGAATACGTATAAACAAAGAGGGGAGGAAGCACAGGCGCTATGCGAAATATAGGAACATTCAGTCGTCGTGTACAATGCGTGTCGTTTTGAAATTTGACACAACAAAACAATTGAAAAGTTTCCTACTTACAATAAAAATAATTAAAAACATTATAAATCATATAAAACTGCTCGGATTGCACGAACACAACCATTCTTACAGAATCGCTATGGATACCAATAATAATATAATCGATCAACATTATTAAGTTATAAATTGTAAAACAATTTATGGCATAATTTATATCATCAGTAAAAACAATAAATATGCATCTCGTGTCGTCATCCACAGTGGGACCGGCGGGACCGGCGCGACTGGTCGCGGCCGCCGCGCGGCTGTATTGCACTGACGCGACGGCCGCGGCACTCGGGCGCACAGCTGACCGAGCGCCGGCAGTACTGAGTCTCTCACGTTAATACTGTCCGCGACAACATCACAACGGCCCGCCCGTACACGTATAACAAAAATAAATAGGTATCCGACCGGGCGCCGGCCGGTCACAGCGCTGGCGGGACAGTGGTCGCCGGGCGGTCACACGGCGGTCACACGACGGTCACACGGCGGTCACAAGACGGTCACGCGGCGGTCACGTGTGCAGGCTGGCGCAGCGCGCGACCGGTGCCCGCGCCGTCCCGCCGCGGCCGCCGCGCTCGCAGGCCGGTGGCTACCTGCAATTGCAAACGATACACTTCACACGTGAACAGAACAAAATAGAAATAAATAATCTGGTATTCAATGGGCCGGCGGTTGTGAGAAACCAGATAACCAATATCTGAGGAGTACAACTCACTATATACACAGACACGAGCTATTTTAAAAAGAGAATAAACTTGGCACATAAATTTGCAAGGTAGACTCTGAGCTCAACAAGTCTATTTATTAAATTCAGATCTTTGCTATTCCAAAGCCACAATATCAGAAATATTCGCCTCAAAAATTTCTAATTTTCCAAATGATTTTGGTGCGTGCGTGCGTGCGTGCGTGCGTGCGTACCTGTTGTCGTGCGGGTGCAGCACGACGCGCTGCAGGTCGCGGCGCGCGAGCTGCTGTCGCGGGCGGCTGCCCAGCTCCGCCGTGCCGTCGCGGCTGATGTACAGCTGCAGCCCGGAACCTGCCGGCGCGCACCGGGCCGTGTGTTAATTATAATGCACGAACGATACAACAAATAACAGAAATTTACAGTTTCATGTGTGGAATTTGACAATGAGGATACAGAATCATAATATTTAAATATTGGCAACGAATTTGTGATATAATGGGCGTTGCGATGTATCCTCGGTTGTCAATAGTGCATCAGCAGCAGTAGTATGAATGAGATGCACTCACTCTCGGCGGAGTCGTCGACGGCGTGCTTGAGGTCGGTGGCGGCGAGCAGCTCGTCGATGAGCGAGTCGGGGTTCACGCGCGTGTTCTCCACGCGGCACGACACCACGTGCTGCGGAACATACGCACCATAGAGATGTTTATTACGTGTTACAGTTTAATACTTATGCTGGAAAGATTTGTATATTTTTAAGTGATTTCCAAAAGAAGAAAGTTCTGAATTGTTTTACGTCGCTGAGTCCGTTAAAAGTGTGTTGTGTGTTCTCATGTTCGTTTTATATTAATTTTGTGACAATTGAAATAGCGGTTTTACTTTGTAAAACAAAAATTAATTCGAAGCAAAGGGTGAGGCAACATCGGAGTCCTTAGAAACGGGAAAACGCGTGTAGAGTGTCACCAGTGTATTTTGTAATGTTGATAGTGCCGTATTAGATGGGCCATCGGCTCGTAAGTAGTATGGATTTTTTTATGTAATTTAGAATAATAAACGAGCTGACAGCCCACACGTAGGAAAGTGGTAACCGTCGCCTATAAACATGAATAGTACCATGGACATAACAGAGTATACTGTTTCGCCCATGATACCTGTCATACGTTGGCTTTCAACTAAGGTGCTTTACCTCCGTATCCTGAAATTTCCATGTTATAACTATAATTTTTCGGTAGAAGTACGAATGGCGTGAAACGTGACTGTGCGTTCTGAATTAAAATATTTGTGAAATATGTCGTCATTTCATTTGTTGACGCGTGTGGTGGCGCGGCGTACCTGCGTGTCGTCGGCGGGCGGCGGCGCGGTGCGCTTGCGGCGCTCGAGTGCAGCGCGCGCGCGTTCCAGCGAGCCGCCGTCCGCGCCCGCCGTCCCCGCCACCCCCGCCACCCCCGCCACACCCACCGCGCCAGTCGCCGCCGACAGCGAGCCCGACGACGGGTTCCTGCGCACACGCAACACGCACGCTGCTTTACTTCGTACTGTCAATACTTAATATTCTAATGCCACAGTACTGTACACAGAACATTCGTCACGTAGCGAGCGGGCCGGGGTGCTGCACGTACCCTTCACTTTAACAGCGTTCATAGCTTTAGCTTGACCAAGTGTGGCAACGTCGCAACTATCTGCCGACTTCCAAAAACCATTGAACATTTTTCAATGTTTCTGCGTGATTATTTATAGAGTGTTCAGATAGAGAACTAAAATGAGCGATTCACATGTGAAAATATCTCGAATAATTAATTACTGTAATGTAATTGTACAGAAAAATATAAGTAAACGTGACACATTATTTTTGCATTTATTTGAATCACACAAAATATAATATGTAATAAAATATAAAATGTTCTTGTAAATCAGGCTCGCGTGTATGTAGCTCGGCAAGATATATTCCGTTTTACAGTTGCTGTGATCCGCTCACGAAGAATCCCGCTCGGTACGTACTAACGGCTAAATCTATCTTCTTTCAATATAATTATTATTAGAAAATTAATATCATCATGCTCATGAATATCATTTACATGCTAAAATTATATTGCACAGTGAATGCACAGGACATGCGTCGTGATGTGAAGCAATTTTAATGATTGCTGCAAAATTATTAATGATTACATATAAAACAGAAACGGACATGCTATGGATAACATCATTAATGACAAAATAAAATCATCTACCTTTGTGAAACTACGCTATCTCCACTTTAAATAATACTGAAATAGTTCATAACTGTGACAGTGGACCTTTTTGTTAAGCTGAACGCACTACTGCCCCCGGTGGGGCGGGGACGTTCGCACGCACGCACGCACGCACGCACGCACGCACGCACGCACGCACGCTAGCGCACGGGCGTGCGGACGTGGCCCCGCACGACAAGCGAGTCTACACGTCACATCGACACGATACAACATCGAGGTATCCAGACGTCTCGGAACTGCGAGTGTTTTATTTTAAAGGAAACGCATGAAAGTGACGGCTGAAGGTTAATATATTAGAAAGCTGTCGCGTTCGAGACGTCCGGGGGTGTTTACTGCGCGGGCGCCGGCGTGTACTGACAGCGCGGAGCTGGGCCGCCGCGGCAGCGACCCCGCGCCGCACGAGCAGCCGTCCGCGCCGCCTCCGCCGCCCGCGCCGCCGCCGCCTCCGCCGCCTCCGCCGCCGCAGCCCTCCGCGCGTCTGCACCACACAACACCTGCGCTCACACTAGCACCGCAACAAGGGACGCCACGACAGCACAAACAGAGACAGAGGAAGAGACGAGAGACGAGATGAGAGGCTAGCAGTCCGTAGAGGCGGTGCCCGCGCCCGTTAGTGGCGGCATGTTAGCGCGAGGATCGGACAGCGGGAGCGCGCCACTCACCTGGTGGCGGTGTAGCTGTGCCGCAGCGCCGCGTCGGTCGGCCCCCGCGGCGTCGACGTCACCACCTTCTCGTCGTTGAGGGTCCGGTTCGAGAGGCTCCTGAATCTGTGCCGCACGTCCACGTGCTCCGTCGACCCGGTGTCCACCTCCGGGTCGGAGGGCACGCAGTAGAACTCGTCTTCTATGCAGCCCGAGAGCCTGTTCGCGTTCGACACGAGCGAACTCTTGCGGTGCGCGAGCGGCGTTAGAAACGGGAAGTTCGTGAACAGCTCCTCGTTCTTCTTGCTCTTCTCGAGCAGAGCCGGTATTGTGTTGAGCGACTTCTGCTTAAATATTTGGAAATTCGTGAGCGGCTGGACGGCGGCCGCCACGACGCTGGCGGCGACGCGCTTCTTGCAGTCAAAGTAGGTGGGCATCGCGAACGAGTTCTCGTGTCCGTTCTCCATGAGCGTCGAGTCGGGGGTCCGGTACTCGTCGGAGGAGGGCGACTGCAGCGCGTGGCGCGGGATCACGTCGGGGGGGCCCGTGAGGGTCGTGTTGGGCGTCAGGTACACGTCGGACGTCTCGCTCACCACCGTCTTCTCTAGCAACAGCTTGGCGAGCGCTCGCGCGTTATTGCCGTGTTTACAGTTCTGCGTGGGGACGTACAGGGTGGTGGTGGTGGTCGTGGTCCGTTCTAGGCGTACACTGCGGGACGGTGGCGGGTGGGCGAATAAAAAATAAAAATAAATTAATAAAGCAAATAAATAAAGTAGGGGGCGGCGTCGGGTGGCAAAAAAAAAATCGGAAAAGTTAGTTAAACGTGCGGAACATAAAGTGGTTACAGTGTGGCGGGTGAGGACTGTACAACTGCACTGAGTGCTCGAGGCGCGGCGCACGTACCTGTTGTGGTGCGGCCGCGGCCCGTCCGCCGCCTCGCCCTCCGAGCTCTGCCGCGAGTGCGCCGACGCCGCCGACGCTGAGCTGCCGTACCCCGACGCCTGCAACACGACATCACCCTATGGTCAGAATACGACGTATGTAATACTGTAGTGAGGGCATGTTGACTTGAATTTGCAACTTCTTCAGTTTGGGTATGTAGAAAGAATATCAAATTATCTATTTTTCGGATGACAAAAAATAGATAATGAAAATGGACTAAAAGGACCTGTCATGATTTGAGGGAGAAGATAAGCGTCTTCTGAGTTTGCAACTTCATGTACAATACGAATTATATTGAAAAGAACAAAGTGCTCACATCGGTCAGGTGGCTCTCTCTGCAGAATTTGACTACAGTAGCTTACCTTGCTGCTCATGTCGCCGGAGGTGTTGGAAGAGTTCCTGGAGTGTGTTTGCTGCTGATGCAACCACGTCGCGCATGACGCCGCCGTCTGGACACCGCCCCCACTCCCGCCCCCGCCTCCACCGCTGCCTACCAATACACCTGCAAACACCAAGAATGAGGATATGTTCGGTTTTTTACATTACACAAACTGCTTATTATGTCAGGCACAAAATTAACAAAAAAATATAATATCGTCATAGTCGTAGAATACTGACGGATCTGACAAAGTTTACATATGAAGATCCGTCAGTATTCTACGACTATGACGATATGTGTTACATTTATTACATGGTATTATTAGGTACTATTATATATATTCAATAAATAAATATATACTCAAGGTAAAATATCATGTGCTAAATCAGACAACGTATGTCTAGGATCCCGACCCAGTACATTAAGACTAGGATTTAAAAGAGTTAGTTCCCTGATCGGACTCGACCTTAGTATTTGTAAAACACCGTACATACCATTACGCTGCTGATGCTTTTAGCTTTTAGATGCTTTAGATATCACCGCCAATTGTGAATTATTTTTTATTTATGCAGCTTAGAATGGCACACAGGCTGACGGCCAACCTGATGGAAAGTGGTAACCGTCGCCTATAGACATGAGCAGTACCATGGACATAACAGAGGATACTGTTTCGCCCATGATACCCCCCATGCGTTGCCATTCCTGAGGACTCAGGTGTTATTCCTCTGTACCCTGTAAATTCACTGCCATATTCCAACCGAAACACAACTGCTTCACGGTTAAAACATGAATGGGACAGAGGTGGCCAAACAAACGACTTTTGTACAGTCTCCCTCTGGTATGTAAGTCCTATACTAATTTTCTCGCTATTAATTCGGTATTTTTTTTTTTATATACAAGTATAAATCCTTCATGAATACGTGTAATTAAATAAGTAAATTACCGGTGTACTCGGCCACGAGGGCGGCGGGCGGCGGCGGCGGCGGCGGCGGGGGCTCGTCCGCGTCCGGCGACGGCATCTCATACGACGGCAGCGACGACAGCTGCTGCGAGTGGCAACCCTCTGCAACAGCGCGGACACGACACACGTTACACGAGTAGTTAGTACGAACTCATCACAATACGCCGACACACCTGTCTCCACTCCTCGCTGGTACCCCGTCAGTGTATATAACAATATTATATAAATAGGCTATTGTATTATTATTAATACCACGTGGAGGTCGATCTAGCATTGGGGCTGGTAGTCTGCATTACTAACGATCCCTTGCCTCCCACCCTGAAAGTTTAGGGTAGGTAGTTAAATACATATAGTAAGTACTATTCGACGTGGCAGATATTGTCAGGTTCTTTGATTCCGAAAAGGTAAGTTTTTTTATACTAATATGGTGACAAATAAGCATACGGCCTGTCTGATGGTAAGCGGGGTCACTGTATATGTCTATGGATGCCTGTACCACTACGGATGTCATGAGCATATTGGCTACCAATAAGAAACTTTATCATGCCCTTTGTGAAGAACCTCATGCTATAGTCCTTAAGGAAATCCTCGGCAAGAAAATCATTTCATAACCTGATTGTTCGCGGGAAGAAACTCCTCTGAAACCGCACTGTGTGTGACCAATCTGGTTCTAAGGTTTTAAGAATGGATTCCCTTGTCATGTCATGTTCCCTTGTCAGCTTGTTTGTCCATTTTATATTGTATAAAAATGAAAGCAAAATCAGGAGCCGTTCAGAGTCAGTCCAGATCGGCCACAGTACTTGAATCTTTCCACTTCCCAATTCTATATTGCCATACTGTTGTTACTAAACAACATGCCGCCGTACCGTAGTTCTTCTTCTTGGTGAGCGAGCCAAAGCCGGAACTAGCTGTGGAGGAGCCGCAGTCGTCGTCGGCGGCGCCGGCCGCGCTCTCTGACCCGCTGTCGCCGCCGCCCTTGGTCTCTGGTACGTCCTGCTTACGCTCCGGACTGGAATGGCGATAGTGGCAGAAATATTTTATTTATTTATTTATTAAATACAAGATATTTACAATGTGAGTACATTGGAGCCCGCATTAGGCGAACCTGTATCGCGGGAGTCCATAAGAGATTACCAAGACATGGTGATTTACATTTTTTTTATACATCTTAGAATGGCAAACAAGCTGACGGTCCAAAATGATAACCGTCACCTATAGACATGAGCAGTACCATGGACATAACAGAGTATACTGTTTCGCCCATGATACCCCCCATGCGTTGCCATTTCTGAGGACTCAGGTTTTATTCCTCTGTACCCAGTAAATTCACGCCATATCCCACTCTTCAAACTGAAACACAGCCATGTAAACACAACTGCTTTACGGTTGAAACACGAATAGGACAGAGGTACCCAAGCAATCGCTTTTTGTACAAAGTCTCCCTCTGGTCAATAAAATTAGTGTCAGATATAAATGTCCCATGTGACAATTGTTTACAAACTAAGTTATAATCATTATAAATCCATCAACGCCCTCACTCAAGGTTGCAATATCTGATCGATCTAAATGTGCTCCACCCTGGAAACCATCGCAGTTAATTCCTGGTTAATTCGTCATGGTAAACAAACTGGTCTGACTTATCTTTAACTACCATCCTTCACTGGTACATTTCCAGCGTAAATCAAAGGCTCACGCGAAGTTTCCTTTCATTTTTATTGAATTATTCCTATTAAAAATACGTTAAACTAGGAATGGATCACTGTGCAGGATCTTTCCAGTCTACCATTACCACGCTGTACAGGCCGCTTGATTTTATTTTCAGGTATGCATTTCTCTTATATCGTTGTAATGTGCTTTATTCCCTTAGTCGCAGCTTAGCTTAGCTTATATCATGGGTATTAAAACAAATGCTGAAGACATGTCAATAAGAATAACTTCAGTGGATTTTGCCTTACACTTTAAAGAGCGGGTCGCCTGAGATCATGTTCATCTTGATGCGCAGCCGTAACACCGAGTTGTCCTGGCGGCGGCGCGGGTCGTACCCCTCGAGCAGGCAGCGCCGCGTCGCCTCGCCCGCGCCCGCCAGCTCCGCCAGGTTCACGTCGCAGAAGCCCAGCTTCTGGTACGACCGTCCACCTGTGTGAAAACATGAGAAAAAAAAAAACTTATATTTTAATGTTGAAAATAAAATGGCAAGTAAATGGAATGGTAATCCTGTCTTGGCTATTGGTATACGCTGGCGGTACCATACCAATGAACGCTGCCAGGGGAGGATGAAGTCAATTATCCTGTCGTGACTAATTCACCCGAAATTAACCACGATGGTTTCTAGGAAGGAAACGCAGAGGTCGACTTCATAGGGTCCGCTAGCAATGGTAGTAGTTAAATCTCATTTCTAACATAGCCTTTCCCCCAACAAACAAATCTCGTATATACATGATCAGTAGCGTTCATAAAAAGTACATACATAATGGAAGTTTCTATTATCTAAAAACAAAACGATATTTAATATTTCCCATTCCTAGAGGCTCCGAAATCGTACAACTTGCTATTAGCATTTGTGCATCGAGCTTTGCAAAAGCCAATCTATATTTGAAAACTATAACTTCACAGCTTTGCGCATGGGAGTTGCAAATTAAGAGAGGTCTCATGGACGGTACATCATTCAAGATATTTTTGACTAAAGGTGTAAATTTTCCCTTTACTAGGTACTAATTGCAATAAACAAGCATGACAAGTTGACAAAATGTCAATTTGAGTGACAACTGTAGATAAATTATCTAAACAGTTACAAAAATGGGTCAGAACAGTTTCACAATCGCTAGTCAGTGAGATGACGTTTCCTATACACATTTGCCGATGACTTGTCAATGATGGCGGTAATGTATTTAAGTATCGATGATAGCAATTGCGTTAACATGACCTTTGCTCGCAAACGCTTGTAGTAATTTCAAACAGGCTGGCCGAAGGAGAGGAATGTTTACTGTTACGAAAACATGCAATTGTCTCCTTCCTTGGTAATTTATTTGCATTGCATTGACGAAGACTCCCCACATTTTCTTGTTTTTTTTTTCTTAGCTAAGTAAATTTAAAAAAGTCCGGCTAAAAGGCAGGGTAATATCCCGCTAGTAAACTTCACATTATGTGAGCATACTTCAAGTAGAAGTTAAAAGCGCTACGAGCATAAAGTTAAGGCGGAATGCCCGAGAATCTATAACAACAACTTTGTACAACTGCGAGCTCGACTACAAAATTTGGAGACGGAGTTCCGACTCCAGCGAACTTGCTCCGGCAAGTTAGATAGTTGAGGTATCTCAACCATTTCACTGATAAAATGGTAACATTATAGAAAAATACTTTTTTTATACAACTTAGAATGGCAAACAAGCTGACGGCCCACCTGATGGAAAGTGGTAACCGTCGCCTATAGACATGAGCAGTACCATGGACATAACAGAGTATACTGTTTCGCCCATGATACCCCCCATGCATTGCCATTCCTCTGGACTCGGATGTTATTCCTCTGTACCCTGTAAATTCACGCTATATCCCACCCTTCAAACCGAAACACAGCCAGCATAGCACAGTAAATGAGAATGTATAGCAGGGAGTGTCATAACTGTCAGCCAGAAAGGAACAACAATAGAAATTACATCGACACGACAACTAAAGCTATACGAGTACTGTAATGAATTTAATATGCCAAATTTGACGAATCAAGCAGTTATTAGAAAGAACATCATGAGTTAATGTAAAGGCGGATAGCCAGAATATCGTAAAGTACCAGTTCAGTGCAGAGAGCTACACAGTGGTTGTGGGTGATAGTTCGCAGGCCACGCCAGGTGTACGTACCCTTGAGCTCCTTGCGCACGGAGACCCTCATGAGCGCGGGCTCGAGCACGCCCGTGTTCGCGTTGGCGCACATCTTGCATACGAACGAGAACTCCGCGTTCCAGCGCACCGCGTGGTTCCGCACCTCCTCTCTGCAACAACAACATAATTATGGAAAAACGGTCATGGTCATACTCTTATTAAATGTAAAAATAAGTTTATTTATTTGCTGTCTCTTAGAGTCAACTGATCCAATCCTTCTGAAATTAGTTACATACGTATACGCAGTAGAGATGCGCCGAATTATTATGTTTACTTGCGGAGACACGCGGATATAGATACGGATCTTAAGTTACTTACGATTTAAAATATTTTAATTAATTAATTAAACATTTAAAGTACTATATTAGTAACTCATTACGATCATTGTTTCTATATTTAATTTATTTAATATATAAGAGTGACATTTAATTTGAATAGAATTTAATAACGTACCATAAATGATCCGTTTAAAATCCGCCTAAATGTAACGGATACCTGATACGAACAGCCTGCATATCACTTATACGTAGTATTGGGGGGAAAGAGATTGTTAGTAATGAAGTTTGACAGCCCCATTGCTAGCAATATGCCTTATTAGGTCGACCTCCACGTGGTTCCCCCTGGAAACCACCGTGAACAATTCTTGTTGAATTCGTCATGATGGGCTAACTGACCTATTTCATCCTCACCTATCATCCTTCACTGGTGCCCCGCCGGTGTATACCGATAGCGCGGGTGGGGTCACCATTCCATTATCATCCATTAAAAAAAAAATACGTAGTATTTGCGACGGAGGACATAGGCTATTCTTTAATACGTCAAATCACTTAATGTATCCAGGTTACGTGGATAAAGCCTTGAAATATGTCGTAAAAAGTTTTATATGTTACTTAATTACGCCGATTTCATTTTTATTCGACAGAACTTTTTTGTATGTATGTATGTTACGCAATATGTTTACAAATTACGAAACGATCTTTTTTTTTATTTTTAAAATCCGTTCCATCTATGGAGTTTACTCTCATGTATTAATATTACATAAAAAAAAAAAACACTACCTATATGGTGACAAAATATCAAATAATTTAATAAAAAAAAAATTGAATAAATATTGAGAGATTTGCAAAATTGAATTGTTCTATATTGTTCAATTTAGAAACATTATCAACTCTATGGTGGCCGCTTACTACCAAACACATTGTATACCCAGAAGAAGATTTTGTACAAAAGTCGTTTGCTTGGGTACCTCTGTCCCATTCGTGTTACAACCGTGAAGCAGTTGTGTTTGCATGGCTGTGTTTCGGTTCGAAGGGTGGGATATGGCGTGAATTTACAGGGTACAGAGGAATAACATCTGAGTCCTCAGGAATGACAACGCATGGGGAGTATCGTGGGCGAAACAGTATACTCTGTTATGTCCATAGCACTGCTCATGTCTATAGGCGACGGTTACCACTTTCCATCAGGTTGGCCGTCAGCTTGTTTGCCATTCTAAGTAGTATTAAAAAAAAAAACTTAATTACAATACATAAGACTGCAACAGAGCCGCTGAACAAATAAATAAACTATAAAAGGATTATGCTAATGTTCATTCCGCATGACACAAATAATCTCGCCACGTACTGCGGCGACTTTATTGCAGTTAAGCGTTTTGACAGACAAACAGTGGCATTTGTTTAATGGACACCACTTACGTTTCTTAAATAATGCACTCAAATGGCATAAGACATTCAATGTATTCTGATCTCTATGTTCAGGGCCATAAAGAGCAGGTAGCTAATAATGCAACGCCTTTGAGAAATCCCCAACATTTTCTGGCGGCATCGTTAAAGAAACGGCACTCGGCAAATGACGTTTTTAGTACACTAGGATTTCAGTCTGAAATAACTTGGCTAGTGGGTTATTATGTTTTCGAAGGAACGCGTCGCGATGTCAGATCCGGAGTGAAATATTACATCAGTGCGGTCGGTTAATAACCGTTGTAGTATCGACGCAGAGATCTGTGTCAAGAGTTAGAACCGTTGAGAATTATCAAAGTGCGTACAAGTGTGTCCGATATACGCCATCGACAGGGGCCCAACAGAAAAGAAAAACAGACCTATCGGTTGCGTTCCAGATGTGTACTCGTCAATTGATGCGCAATATAACAAACTGTTATTATAATTTGAGTTTAGAACGGCATCGAATGACTCAACCACCATAAAATATATTTAGAAAACGCTAAAAAATTTAAGACGCCTGCAACAGTGTCACGTGCGCATTGGCAACCCTGAAGAAACCTTAATACATCCTTTTTAAAGAGCCCTATATTGTAGCCCTTAGGGAAACCCTCGGCAAGTAGCTATTATATTTATCTCCATGTGATGGACATTAGAAAATTGAAACAATGAAACAAACATATATAATTAGGATTCTATATGTTATAAGAGACAACTCCTAGCCGTCGAAAGAGACGATATAACCGGGTCGTCGGGAACTTAATACTTTTCCAGCAGCTGTAACCGCAGAGCTATTCGAATCAACTGCACTGTGGGGACACGGCCATTTGTTACATCGCTCGTCCGATTATCCGGCGAGAATTGAATCTCCACAGATAATAGACTGTGCCACGGAGCGGAGTACAGTGCGTTAGTGTGGAAATAAGACACGAAACGAGCATCGGTCATTAGAGCGCAGCTGATAAGTCAATGTTCCCCCTCAACGCTGACTATTCATCGCCCAATTGTTTGTTAAAATTATATAGTTGCTAAACAGAAATACAAAAGCACAATTTTTTTCACAAAACAAAAATACTAACTTTAATTGTGGCAAAATCAGTTATTTTGATTTTGAAACTAAACTAATAAACTCACTTTGGTAAAATTTCTATGTGACTAATCTTAACCAATCAGATAAAAAGCTTGTAAAAAGAGAATTTCCCAAATCAGTTTACAAGTGACAGAGTTAGGGAGTTATAAACATTAAAAACAATCGAATTGAAAAACTCCTTCTTTTTAAAGTCGGTAGAAAATATATTTTTTATACTTGCCATATTTAGAAAACCATGTTATTACGTCTTTCTTTTTCTTAATCGACCATATTAAAATAAGATAAACAAAAATTTTAATTTGTGAATGAATGCCTTTTTGCCACTTTTGTGGTGTAAAAAGAAAAAAATCCTCTTGATTTTCCTACAATAATATAAATTATCTCTTATACTAGTTTATTACTTATTTATATTTCATATAGATATTTCGACAATAAGGCCAGTCAAGATTGCTTATTCAATATGGCAAGTACAATAAGTATAAGCGTGTATGTGCCTACTCGTACCAGCAGCTATAGAACGCTATAGAACGTTGCCTGTACAAATACAGCAACAATCTTTGTAGATAGAACCGTTGGAAGTGGGTCAGGTCGATCAGCCAGAAGAGAACGAGGCACCAGCCGCGCACCGTATTGGCAGTACATACGTAATCTGATAGTGAAATGCCTCGGATGCACGCTGAAATTGGAAAAGCCGACTATCGTATGAACGTTGGTAAACTGTAAGAGTTTATTACTTTTATTTATTAGATATTGCTGGAAAAACAGGCATATCTTATAAATCTTCTATATTTTAGTTTATACATACATACATACATATCTGTCACGCCTGTCTCCCATTAGGGTAGGCAGAAACAATGGAACGCCAAATGCTTCGATTCAAACAAACCTCTTTCGCTTCCTCCACATTCATCAATCTTTAGTTTATTTAATTATTTAATATATATTAGAACTCATTAAATTATAATTTGTTTTTTCTTTTTTTATACAACTTAGAATGGCAAACAAACTGACGGTCCATCTGATGGAAAGTGGTAACCATCGCCTTTAGACATGAGCAGTACCATGGACATAACAGTACAAACACTGTTTCTGCCCATGAAACCCTTCATGCGTTGCCATTTCTGAGGATTCAAGTGTTATTCCTCTGTACCCTGTAAATTCACGCCATATCCCACCGTTCAAACCGAAACACAACCATGCAAACACAACTGCCTCACGGTAGAAACACGAATTGGATAGAGGTACCCAAGCAATCGACTTTTGTACAAAGTCTCCCCTCTGATATATTTAAGTAAAAGGAAATTTATGTCATCGTTTTATAAAAACCATGAACGCATAATTTGTAACGGTTGAATCTATTTCCAATACAAACAATAATTTCAATTCAGTTATTAAAAAAAACATAAATTATTTTACTGCACCAGGTGTTATCTTGCGGAAGTCCATATCACTGGCTATTTGATTAGAGTTATTTTGTTTAATTCCGCTACCATTCGTTTGTGTGTGACTGCCAACACTCGAAGATTGCCCATCACTATTACATCTTACTTCCATATTAGCAACCAATCTCCGACTGCCATTTTGTTCACGCACGTTTTGCGACACTTTGAAGCATCTTCAGGCGAATTCACTATCAACACAAAGATTGTTCATTTAAACTACGTGTAACAGGGGGAAAGGGATTGTTAGTAATGGAGACTGAGAATCCTATTGCTAGCAATATACCCAATCAGGTCGACCTCCTCGCGGTTCCCCCTGTAAACTATCATGGGTAATTCCTGATGAACTCATCATGATAGGCTAACTGGCCTGTTTTCATTCTCATCTATCACCCTTCACTGGTGCTCCGCCGGCGTATCCCGTTAGCGCAGGCGGGGTTACCATACCATTTTCACTCATCAAAAAAAAAAAAAAACTACGTGCAACATTCAAAATTGCATAAATCAATGCGCCATTTGTAGACGCCACCATTTGTAGACGCCACCATTTGTAGACGCCAGCAACAATAACTTCTTCACATAACAATACTTAAGCGCAGTAATAAATGTAGCCGTGAGTAGGTACTGAGTGTCGGCCGTTAGCGCTAATGTCTAGGAATGATTTCCACTATGTACCTTAATTGTGCACGACCACTAACTAACATCTTTACTATCACTGCTAATGCCCATTATGTGTTAAGTAAAGCCAACAGTCTCAAGCTTATATTAGGAGAGATTTTATCATATGGAATGTTACTGGTAAAGTTAGGGTCGTTTTCAACTTATCACGTTTGATTTCATTGAATACTTATGAATATACTTAACCAAATGGCATTTTCCGTGAGGA